ATTTTTTTGGGTTTTAATCATGATATTTCTAATGTAGTTAACAAGATTTTGGGTTTTTTGGAAAGATTCTGTTAAAATTGATGTTATTGGTGACTTTACTCAAGTTTTACATTGTAAAGTTGAGGCTCTTAATTTTATTTATTGTGCTTCTTTTGTGTATGTTGCTTCATCTCTTTATAATAAAAAATTGCTTTGGGAGCAACTTATTGATTTTTACAATATTTGTAACTTGCCTTGGCTTGTTGGTGGGGATTTTAATGCTATTACTGGTCCCTATGAAAGGATTGTGTTGCAAATTTGAGTTTATGGATTTGACTTTTGATGATAGAAAACATTCATAATTTCCTACGACTGTTTTGCCTACTAACTTTTCAGGACCACAAGATCGAATGCAGCTCAAGCCAGCTCAAGATCAGGTAGATTTAGGTTGAGTCAAGACTGTATTTTTTCCTTTAGTGAGTTAATTGTAAAAGTGGTTCCTGATGCTAAGTAACCCTGCACACACACACTTGAGAGGTTTTCTGAATTTTTCTATTTTTAGTACATTGGCCAGGATGATTCAACTAAAAATAGAAAATTTAATTAGGGCATCCTTATTAAGCAGCCGTCATTAAGCAAATCATCCTAGACGATACGTGTATCGGCTAGGGAGATAGGCTCAAATCAGAAAGAATCGGCCGCCATTTTTAATTTAGGTATTCTTTATTTTAAATTATATGCCAGGATGATATCCATATTGGCCTCGATGATACAGCACAATTATCCCTAAATTAATCTGACAAATATGGAAAGCAATTAAGGCTGATTGATATGATCACATCGGCCGGGCTGATCGTAGAATCGACCAGGACGATGGACTGGATGATTCACATCGGCCAGATTCTATTCAAGGCAATGTTCAGAATGATTGTACTCAAATTTGAACTTATCATCTAGGATGATATTGTATCTACCGAGACAATATAACCAATTTTCTTTTGATCATCTTGATTCGTCGTGGCTGATTGAGCTTATTTTGTACTGATCGACCAGGATAATATTCCTATCGCCCTGGATGATAATGTCGATTCTTAAAATTCTATTTAAAGGACACAAATTTTCTCATGCAAAAAGACCTTGAGAGCTGTTGTCTTGACTTAAGAGAGCCTTGGGAGAGGGAGAGAGAGAGAAGAACTTGTGAGGGAGATTTTGTGAGAGGAAAGGTTGCTCCAAGCAAGGTTCCAAGTCGTTTTCTCCGTTCTTCATCCTTCATCCTTGGGATGTTCTTGGGAGGTCTACTTCAGCAAATGTCTGGGTTCTCTGCCTGCTTCAGGAGAAAGCAAAAGGAGTCGGTTCTCTGCCACACCGGGGTTGGTGAAAAGGAGTCTATTGTAAAGGTTTCTCCGCCTAGCTGTGGGAGCTAAATGAGAGACACTTAGTTAGTGCAGTACTTGGAGGGTGCCTCCGAGGAGTGGACGTAGGTCAAGGATTGAGTGAACCACTATAAATCAAGTGTGATCTTTCTTTTGTTTCCACGTTTATTTATTTTTGCACTTTGATTTCTGTGGTGAATTGGTTTTATGTTTTGTAGTGCTTTACATAAAGGAAAATTTTTAAAATACCAATTCACCCCCCCCCTCCCTCTCTTAGTTAGCCTCGGGCTAGTTCTTAAGGGCTTAACATCCTTAACAAACTTTTATGTGGTATCAGAGCAGGATTCATAAAAACTAAGTTTGAAAACTTTTTGAATTTTGATGCATGGCTAACAATGGAAATTGTAATACTGCGGAAGGGTATTCTATTATCCGACCACCTTTATTTGATAATATCCCTTTTGATTTTTGGAAAACTTGCATGTCTACATTTTTACAATCAATTGATTATCGCATGTGAATGCTTGTTAAAGATGGTTATACACCTCCAACTGGAAAATTGAATGGCGTTACTGTTCCATTTCCTTTTATTGAATGGACTCTAGATGATAGGTATTTAGCACAACTAAATGCAAAATATTTGAACTATTTTTTCTATGCTTTGAAATCGGATGATTACATGCGTGTTTCCACTTGCAATTCTGGAAAAGAAATTTGGGATAAATTGTGTATTGTCTATGAAGGTACTAATGAAGTCAAGCAATCCCATTTAAATATTCTCTTGCATGATTACAAACTTTTTCATATGAAATCTTATGAATCGATTTCTGAAATATATACAAGGTTTACTCAGATTGTTACTTCATTGTATGCATAAGAAAGAGAACTTTCTAATTATGAAAAAGTAAATAAAATTTTAAGATGTTTGCCTTCCTCTTTTGATGCAAAAATTACTGCAATATCTGAATATAAAGATTTGAATACTTATTCGATCGATAACTTACTTGGTTCACTCATTGCTTACGAGCAATGGGTGAACCAAAGAAATTTTGATACATGAGAAAGGAAGAAAGAGAAAACGGTGGCACTTAAGGCAAACGATTCAGACACTAACTCTTCTAGGTCTAAAAGTGATGATGTTGCTTTAGTCACAAGGCAATTTAAGAGCTTTCTAAGGAAGAAGCACAAGAATCCTAAAAAATGGAATAAAGGTAAGGGCAGCAAAAATTTTAAAAATTCTAATGAAATAATTTGCTTTGAATGCAGGAAGGCATTCTGGGCGGATTCTGCATCAAGTGCCATCGTTTTCCTCCCAAGTAAGGAGAAGGGTGAGGAGAAACCAAACTTTTAAAAAGACAAGAGCAAGAATAAATTCCAAAAGGCATTCTGAGCGGATTCTGCATCAGATTCCTCTGAAACTGAACCTGAGGAGGAGACAACAAACTTGTGCTTAATGACGGACAATAATCTTGGTCAAAGTGACCAAGAAGAGGCATGTCAACTAACCTATGCGCAACTCCTTGAAGTTTCTGAAAAAATACATGTATCATATAGGAAACTTAAGCAAACTCATGCTAGCCTGAAATTAGAATTTTTTAATTTACAAAAAGAGCATGAAATTCTTCTCAAAGATCATTCAACAATTGATTCAAATCACATGGCTTTACTTGATGAGTTTGATGCATTAAACAAAAAGCATGCTGAGTTATCTGATTCTCATGATTCTTTAAAATTGTCCCATTCTGAGTTAGAAAAAGAATATAAAAAAATAGAAAATCCAAAACCTTTAAAATTAAAAAGTCTTCATTTCATGCATCGCATAAAAAGCATCACCATAGGAGTAGATTAGTGCATCCCTTTCCTGGAATTAGATGTTTCTCATGTGGCATGATAGGACACATAGCACACACTTGCACCGTTCACCATAGCTCACATTGGGTTTGGAGACCCAAGTTACATGATCCAAAGCATGCATTGCATTCTACTTTCCATAAGAAGGAACCCAAACATGTTTGGGTTCCTAAATCTGACATTTGATAATTTTGTGGGCAAGCTCTCACAAAAGGCCTCATGAGAGCATGTGGTACCTGGACAGTGGATGCTCTCAACATATGACTGGCGATGCAAATCAATTTATAGTGTTGGAGACCAGGACAGGAGGCAAGGTGACTCTTGGAGACAACACCACCATGACGGTGGTAGGAGCAGGTATAATTGGTAATTCCAAGAATCTTCTAATTGAAAATATTTTTTTTGTAGATGGACTGAAACACAACTTGCTCAGCATCAGTCAGCTTTGCGATAAGGGCTTCATGAGCTTAAATAAAAACACTATTTTGCTGTGAAAGTGGATCAAAAATGTTAACATGCTTGATTTAAATAACATTGAATGTGCTACTTCATTTTGCTTAAAAATTGCTATTGATTATTCATGGCTGTGGCACAGGAGATTATGTCATGCCAGTATGAAAACCCTTAGGAAAGTGACCCAAAAAGACCTAGTTAGAAGTGTCCCCAAGCTTAAGTTTTCAAAAGACCACCTTTATAATGTATGCCAATTAAGAAAGCAAATCCACTCCACTTTTCACTCCATTAAGGACACTAGCACCTATAGACCTTTAGAAGTTTTTCACATGGATTTGTTTGGACCCGTTAGCACTGCTAGCTTGGGAGGGAAAGTATATGGTTTTGTTATTGTCGATGAATACTCGAGGTTTTCTTGCATTAGATTTCTTTCACACAAAAATGAGTCATTTAATGAGCTTAGAGTCTTTTTCACTTGGATTCAGAAAAAGCAAGGTTGTGAGATCTTGACCATTCATAATGACCATGGGGGAGAGTTTGAAAATGAGATATTTGGTAATTTTTGTCAGGGCAAGGAGATTAGCAACAACTTCTCAGCTCCTAGGACCCCTCAGCAGAGCGGGGTAGCTGAAAGAAAGAACCGGACCTTAGTGGAAGCCGCTTCATCCATGCTTGCTGAGTATTCACTTCCAAAATACTTTTAGGCTGAAGCAGTTAACACAGCTTGTTATGTGTTGAATAGGGTGAATGTTAGAGCCAAACTAGATAAGACACCCTATGAGATTCTTAATGGTAGGACACCCAATCTTTCCCACCTTCATGTCTTTGGTTGTAAGGTTTTCATTCACAATAATGGGAAGTCTCACTTAGGAAAATTTGACCGACAGAGAGATAAGCGGCATTTCTAGTACACAGAATTAAAATCCTATGTACTGGAAAGGCTGCTTTAAAGAAGGCCAGAAAAAGCGGCCTGTCCCAAACCGAAGCCTAAATGCAAATGGTAAAATCCGTAAGTTGAAAGGCTAAAAATAAAGCGAGAAATTAAATTATGTGGAAATCCAGACATAAACTTTCGTCTAGTACTCCAATTCACATAAAGACACTTAATATTTCTCTCTCTCTTACACACCTGTGACAAGAAGAGAAAAAAATTACCGACATGTCTCTCGCTTTTTTCTACGTTCCAACGGCATCGCGCACTTCCGCACCTAATACTTTCAAATAAAGCAACTTAGATTACATTTGAGACTTTCTAAACAATTAATTCATTTCTACAACTATATAACTACAACAAATACGGCATTTTGGCAATATGAGGTGAACGACAATAGATTAAAACTTACATCAAACCATATAGGTCATGCCGACACGAAATAATATTCATATTGGGCACACTCATATTTGCAGGACCAGCTCTACAATTTCTTCTCAGGAATGAATAGAAGTAGTTGATCACAAGCTCTTTGTGAACCAAGAATCCTTTCTTGCTCTCACATCGGCCTGAGCAAGCAGATATGTGAAACCTGATTCCATTGGCTTCTCTTAGTTCTGAAAGACTCAATATTCCAAAATGTGGATCTTCAGTAGAGGGTAATGAACTAGATGGAAGCAACGAACAACCATCTTCTATCCTGGAAACCTTAGCTCCATCCACACTACTATGAGAAATTAATGGAATGTGGAGCTCAGAGACATAGCTTTGAATTGCTGAGTCCCCTGAAACAACAATCGCCTATCAAAATCTGTTTCGTCTGAACTCATTTCAAGAGCAAGTTCTCGAGCTTCCCTTCTCAAAAACTTTCTCAAGGCTTTCTATCAAGCTGCTCGAAAATGTGGTGATCTTCCTTCCTTACATCTTTGTATCCGTACCGAGCACACGCGAAACATGTGAAAAGTCTTTCCCGCAAACTCGCCGAAAAAGAAATCTTTCGCTTACAGGAACAACTGGAACAGGAACATACTTGATGCAGACAAACACGATTACAGAGTGAACGGCCGGGAGGGTGATGAGGAGTTGGCCAAACATAGAAGGGATGCCCTGTACCAGTTCATTATAACAAGTCCAATTCCTGGAACTCTAGGCAAGTTCCTAGAGAAGAACCAAGTTCAGTGGATGAAATCCATGGAGATTTTCTCCCTAACCTCGCTAGCAAGTACTTCAGCAACTTCCATAGTTCAGATGTACATACCAGCGAGGAAAAATGAGGGCAAATGCAAGTGGAAGCCACCACTTCCTGTACCTTCGTTGAAACTGCAGATAAGTAGATAAGCTCTATAGTTCCAAATATGGCAGGAAAGCTCAGGGCAAGAAATATGTTGGTTTTCCATATGAGTAGCATTACAAGTGTCAGCGCAGGCAGTACTCACCATCATTACCAGAACCTCGGCGATGCCTACAGAGTGATGCTTAGATAGTCAGCCTTGATAAAACACATGAATTTCCTCAAAGATTGAATTATGGAAGTAAATTCGATCAAACCAATAGGCAGATTATCAAACCAAAAAATAATGATCCGATTTATAATTCCAATCAACTTTCAAGCCATGTCTGGAGCCCATATTGATAGTCCATCGCACATTGGACGGCCGGGCAAGGCCATAAATTGGAACATAATTTTGCTTGTTATGAACTTTGCTTTAAGGATTAACCATTGGAGTGGTCAGTAATCGCACGTTATCAATTAAGAAGGTTAAACTTGTTCACTTAATATGGTTGGTTTGGAATTGTAGGTAGCAAAGACACTGTAATAAGGGTGCTTTGCTACAGAAAGTTCATGGTCACAAAAGCAAAGGAGTATTTGACCAGTTCTATGAATTTAACGGACGGAGAAAATCGAAATTTCCACATATTTAAGGCACTTTGGTTTGCAACTCATCTTGGGCTTAGGATCAGTTCCCATTATCAACTAAGTTACCAACCCGAGCACTGTAGAGCTATTGCATACAGACTACTGCCAAAGCCTTCTCTAAGCCAATATGCTGCTTGAAATGTAAGGCAACTGCCTGTTCTTCAAAGTCACAAGAGCTTTCTCAACCATACTAATATGAAAGGATCATATTTCAAAAAGTTTAAAGAGAAGTAGCTTAGTAATGGATATTAAGAGCCGTTAATTTTTTATCAAGTTATATTATTGATAATTATGTTCTTAAAAGCATTCAAATTAAGATTTGTCTTGTGTTGTTAAAGAAGCATTTTCAAATAAGATTTCCATTTTCTAAGGTGTTGCATGACTCAAAATCAGCACAATGGAGCCACGATCCGATATTTTGAGGCCAATACTAGACTGACTTTCCCTCTATTCATATAGAAACATACTAATTAAGGACAAGCAAATATTGTGACAATTTAAAAAGAGGCCATTGAGAAAGTAATGGACACAAAACACCCTAAATCCTTAAGAAATAGTATCAAACAGGTTAGAGCAGTTAAACCAGCTCAATTCCATATATTGAGCAGCAGAATCTAAAGGTACTTTACCATATGCATTCGCAATGTCGGTCGTGCTTCTGAAAGTGGCAACAATGAGTATGCCATGATCATTAAGAACCAGGTTGATATTGGGAATGTATATCTGACCCATAAATCTCTTAGAGGTGTGTATAATCTTCATCGCGTGGAAGCACCAAGAGCCATAGACTGCTTAATACAGGAAAATGTAGCAGATATCATGGCTTGACTGGCAATCATGGAAACAAGAGTAGCTATGACAAAAATGGGCCAGAAAAGAGGCTCTGCTCAACCAAGTCAACAATCAAGCGTGTTAAGAGCCAGGTCAGGCACAGATTAACGAAATAATCTTACAAATTTAATTAAATTTCCAAGAATTAAGTAATAATGCAGCAAATCTGAAAAGTAGAACTTTCCTAAAACTTGAAAAGTAAGACATTCGCTTTTCTAATTACAATAGAGTGACGCACCTGGAACAGAATCATAGAAGATTCTTTTGGTTGACTTAGGATTTTTCATTAGATATGAGCTTGGCCAAAGTAAGCTAAGAAAAGGCAGGGAGCACTACAAACGTGAATGCAATCTGCAAAGAAACAAGCATATGATGTTAAACGTGAGCTATTTTTTTCTTGGAGTAGCCGCAGAAGCGTAGCAGATAGAATAATATATAGATGAAGGATTTGACCTGTATAGATTTTACAGAGAAATGACCAAGATCTGCAAACATTGCTTCAGCTCCTACATTTTTTAGTGGGGAAATAATTGAGATAAACCTTACAGAAATATACTAATACTTTACAAGAACATTGACATCACATAGCCAAAGCCGAACATTTAATAGAAAATGAAAGGGAAAATCAACACAATTCTGACTGAATGCTCACAACTTCATGGAGGATATAATGCATCACTCATATTTTAAGTTGTAAGATAAATGATAACGGGTCCAAAAATTTGTTACAAATTTAATTTAACATACAAAGGTCCAAGTATTATATTTAAAAGAGAATTGACTCTTAATAGGACAGAATGGAGAAAAAAATTTAATATTGCTGTTGTTGTATACAAAGGTTCAAGTAGATCATTAAGGAATAATCTATAATTTTTCAAATTCCAGCTCCAATGAATTTAATAATTACCAATAGCACAAAGTGAATCTTAACTTTAATGTATCAATCCTGAAATAGTGACATCACATGAACGAAGGGGGTTCTAATGACTAAAATGAAAAACTTTTTCTCCAGAAGGATGGCTATGTTCGTCACTAAGCTGCTTCAAGATCCTCTGTATGACCACAAACCCATAATATTCTTCTCAAAGTTGTAAATGAATGGCTGTAAACTTATCAATGATTTTGAGTTTTCGCACAAGCAGAATCGCATATCCTCTTTCAAGGAGCTATCACACAATGTCAATAGATTGACACTCATCCCAGTTCAAAAATGAATAGTGGGGCTATATAAGAATATTTTGACTGTAGATGTAGCCTCGGACTTTATGTAGCCTAGAAAGAATAATGAGGCAAGTCAACATGCTAAGTTCAAAAAGGTTTTGAAAGTGATACAAGTAACACAGATTCAAGACCTCAGTTACATTATAATCATTATCATAATCCTCATAAAAAAACAGGTAATGTCAAATGTATTACAGAAAGAAGCATGGAAATCAAACCCGGTTCATGCCATAACCAATTTTAGATTATTTGTTCATTAATTTCATTTGTCTCGACTCTTAAATGAGTAAAACTATGCCATTAAAAAAAATTAATCAGGGCTAAATAAAAAAGACATGAAGAGCAGCTAAAATAGCTAATGGACATTCAGGAAACAACTTGAATAGAATCAGTCCATTACCACAAAGAATTAAACATAAATTCCTCTTAAATATGTAAATCAAGCTTTAACAAGTGACATAATACAAAATGATCCTATATCCCCACTCTAACTGAAGAAATCGAAGCGAAAGCCAAAAAAGAAAGAGCTAAATCAAAGACACAACTGAAAATCTCAATCTAAAGTAAAAGTATACAAATTAAGAAGTAAATTTTCAAAGCATAGAACCTGTGATGCATAAGACAACACCCCCAAGAGAAGACCATGCCTTTAAGTTATTTCTCTTAAAGAAGAAATATATATAAGCTGGATTCAAAGCTCTCAGAACAGAAATATCATAGGTAATAAAGTTGTACAACCCAATTGATCCAATACCAAAGAACCAAAGTGCTAGAGCAGGAGCAAATAGAAAACCGACTTTGCCACTTCCAAACCTTTGTATGCTGAACAACCCTGCAAGGATGATAATGGACAGAAGTACTACAGCATCTGCACAAGCATAAATAGCAAATAAATTATCTAAAATTTGCAGTAAATTCCCAACGATAAAGCAGTGAAAGTTACACTATGGCTTCGTTTTGGATGACTTTCTTGATGCTTCTTAAAGCATCTTTCTAGTTCAATAATTAAATTTTTTGTACTAGAAAGCTGCTTTAAGAAGCAACAAGAAATCCGTCCCAAACGAAACCTATATCCTGCATTAAAGTAGAAACCTGTATTAAAGCCAGCAACAGCACCATGCAGACCACTAACTGCAGACAATACTGCAAGGGAATTGAACCAAGATGATAACAACATTAAAATAGAAATGGATGGCAGAAAATGCTAATAATGGCGATGTTTAGGAAGGGCAGACTACCTGACATGGATGGTGTAAGAATACCATCACCAATAATCATAGAAGTACCCATGAGAACCAGCAGAAGAAGAACGGTTTTAAAAAAAGAATTTTTCTCCAAAAAACCTTTTATTCGTAAAGCTCTTTCCAACTCAAGCGTAGGCAATTTGAGCCGAAAACTAGAGATATCTTCATCGGCACGCTGCTGATTTGGAAGTTGACTAACTTTCGCATATCTACATATGAGTGAATATAATGCAAAAGTACCACCTGCACATATACTTTTTAAGTTCCACTTAAGTAAATATTTCAAGTCAAGGAGGAAAAAAACAAAATGAATTCGCGCTAACAAGAGAAGTTCATTTTTAATATAAGTGAAAATGAATGAATATAATATATTTTTAACACTAGCAGAAAGCCAAATGATAAAATATAGTTCATGAAAATTCTTTCTCTCTTAATAGTTCATACCTTCACCATTATCATTAGCCTTTAGCACTACAAAAATATATTTTGCAAAAGGAATGAGCGCAATTGTGTAGATAACTAATGACAACGCTCCCAACACATCTACTTCCGATTGTAAGGCAACCTTGCTAAAAACAGCACTGAATACATACAAAGGACTTGTGCCCATGTCGCCATACACTACTCCAAGAGTTTGGAATGCCATTGCAATTGTGCTCCATGTTGAAGGATCCTGACATGAATTGAAATAAAAAAAGAGTGTCTAGTTGAAGGATAGAAGAATTGTGAAGAAAGAAATGGCATATAAATCTGTCTAACATGAAATTCATGTAGGAAAAAGAGAAAAGAGAGAGAAAGTTAAGAAATTGCAATTGGACTAAATTAAAATGGGAAGCAGCACACCAACTTGTCTAATCAAGAACTTGACAGAAACAATTTGTTCATGTCAAAAATGAAGAAGGTAAGATGTTGTTATTGGACTCGATGCCAAGTGAAAATTCTAATGTCCTAAAAGAAATAGTATTTATTGACTAAGCACATATATGATGAAAGACGGAGATGGAACTAGAGAAAGCACAACTAATTTCGGAAGGAATTAATTTTCCAATGCACATCCTACAAAAAATTTAGAAGTCTCATCTTGCAATCATGAAGACAAAATGATATCTATGTTCCATCTAACTTTAGGTCAAGTGATACTACATGTGGTTCCATTAGCATCTTTGACAGCCCCTTAGTAAACTACAAGAAGAGTTTGGATGCAAGTAGGGGTGTAAGTGAGCTGAGCCGACTCGAGCTCGACTCGTTAATGGGCTCACAAGCCGAGCTTATCGATCTCACGAGTCGAACTTGTTTAGTAAACGAGCTCGAGTTCGAGCTCCAGCCTGCTCGGCTCGTGAGCCGGCTTGAATAAATATTAATATTTTTTAAATAAATTTATTTTAATTATTAAATTTAAATATTAAAAAAATTAATAAAAATTACATAAGTTTTATTTAAATGTTAAACATTTCATCTTTTTTTCTAAATTTTAACTAAGTTTTAAAATCCAGCTTAAGTTTTAATAATCCCGCCTAATTTTTAAAATTCCCGTCCATGGATCGCGAGCAGGCTCGAGCTCTTTTATAATGAGGCGAGCTCGAGCTCGCTTTCCAACTGACAAGCCGAGCTCGATAAGGGCTTAAACTCGACTCGACTCGTTTACACCCCTAGATGCAAGATAGCATATGATCAATATAGTAGACCAATCTTGTTATAGCTTTCATTAGATCTTGTACTTCTGCATACATGAATTTTCAAAGTAATTACCTTCAAAATCTTAAATCAAAATCATTCATTATCTTTAATTTCATTAAAACTAATACATGGTTTCAATAATATGCAAGATCATTTGATCTCAATTAGATGCATAAACAAAACCTCCCCCTTTAGGGGCATTCCTTTGAACATTTGTGCATAATATATTACAAATCGCATGGCATTCCTTGAATAGTTATTATTCAATACATGTCATCATTGCCTTGATTGTGGTAGATATCAGTTGAGCATATTCATATGTCTGAATTTTGTTGGCTTCATTACTGTGAAAATGGATGAAAAACTTAGTCCCCGTGCCTTTGATATCATTATGACGCATTTTCATTCATTTTTTATCATTTTTATAAAGATGAATAACACACATATTTGATTGTTTTAACTTTTTTTTCTAGTAATCATGGGATTACATGTAAAGCTATGATGCAAAGACACAGACACGGCAACACAGATACGACACGACACGAACACAGGAAACATCAGTTATTAAAAATATAGGACATGGACACGGGATGAACACAATATTATAGTTTTTATATTTAAAAAATAGTGTATAAAAATTAAATAAGTATAATTTTAAAAATAATTTGAAAATAATAAGTCATTTAACTAGAATTTGTGCTTCAAATGATTAGTATTAGGATGTCGAGAGTCAAGCGTCGTGCCGTTTATCAGTCACCGAGAGAGGAAATAAAAATACCTTCACTGCCAAAAAGAAAAGAAAATGAGAATATTCGATGATTGGGTATTAAGTGCGGATGCTGATTTGGTATTGTTGATAGGAAATAAGAAGTTTAGTTTAAATCCCACAAAATGCAATAAATTATATTTAAAAAAATCATGAAATATTAAAGATACGCATGTCCAATTTGTATTTAATATTTTTTAATCGGACATGTTTTCGGTGTGTCCGACACGTGTCGGAGGAGTGTCGTGTTGGACACGGTGTTGGACACGGTGTTGGACACTGCACACCTCTTTGAGGAGAAGTGTCGGTGCATCATAGCTTTTTAGTAATCATATAGCATAAATAAATATCATCAAACTTATTTATTGAAATAGATAAATCAGAAAAAAATGCATTAAATCAACATGTAGATTCACTAATAATGGATTAATTAATTTGAAGAAAAATAGAGAGCTCAAAATTAAATATAAATACTTACTTGGATAAGAAGCAATACACAGATTCACTAATAACAATTAATAATAATGGTTTACATCAAATTTAATTGATTAAAAATACCATAATTTATTATTAATGTCTAGAAATTAAATCTTATTGATATCAAATTTTACTTTAACTTTAAAAAAACATTAAGAAATAAAAAATGAAAATATATATTTGAATAAATTAACATAATTATGATATTTATACAATTAAGATAAGTTAAATAAACAGATATCAGTAAAAATATGTGATTAATAATCAATCCTGCGACATTAATAATATTAAATTATAACAAACAATTATTAAATAAGTACTTAAATAAATTTTATTTAACTAAAATTTAATTAAATAATGTACCAGACAACATCGGCCTTTAATATGCTACTTTTTCAACAACAAACAAGCTAGTTTATGAATATAAATAAGCGAGTTAGACAAAGTTCAAGCTTAGTTCAATTAGCATTTGACTTCAAATTTTTAAAAAGCATTTAAATTTATTTAATAATTAACTTGAACGCATGTTAATCGAGCCAAGTTAGAGTTATTCATCGAGTGCATTGGTTTACTCAAATCCCTAAGCAAATCTAGTGCTAACCAGCCCAAGGGGCTGGGCCGGCTGGACCGGTCCTCCTTGGACCGGTCTAACAAAGTGTTGGACAAGTGTCGTGTCGGATACGGTGTCGGACACTGCACGCCTCTTTGAGGAGAAGTGTCGGTGCATCATAGATGTAAAGAAAATTATATTAGTGTGCTAGATGCATATTATTCAAATATTCATATATTATTAGTCAGTCTAACCAATAAGCCTAATCTTCAAAGATTCATCATTTTGTTAATGACTTTTTTAGATTAAAGATGTTGTAACAGACAGATATTAACGGATATTCGCTATATGATATATTAGGGGTTGTGTGGTTGGAATAAAAAGTGGTGTAAAGTATTCTAAATGCATGGGTTTTGAAAATTTTGGTGTTTAGTTAGAATACAAAGCGGAGAAAAGTAAATTAAAGTAAATGTAATGTAAACCATTTTAGTTCATTTTTGAAGTAAACCAAACTCGCCCAATTTTGAGTGAAAACCGTTTACACCACAAGCAAGCTCGCTTGACCACCACCCACCACTGCCTTTACCCGCCGACCACCACCAACTGATGCCGCCACCAGGCATGCCACCACCACCGTCAAACCCCCAATGTTGGCCACCACCACCAGCCGCTACCACCACCTGCCACTGCTACTACCTGTCGCCAGCCAGCCACCACCGCCGCCAGCCTCCACCACCGCAAGCCGACGTCGCCACCCGCCACCACCTCCCTTGTCGGTCACCACCATTTTTGAACTTTACACTACATTCATTATTTTAAACAAACAAAAAAATCATTAACCTACATTTTTCTTTACATTAATCCAAACAACTCCAAAGTATTACTTTTTTAGCCATCCAAAAAGCCCCAACAACCCTTAAGACATTCTTTTATATATATTAAGATTCCTAAAAGGTGGTCGCCTTTAGGCCCCATTGCCTAAAAGCATCAAAGATCAAAGAGCACCAATGCCGATCAAACTTGAAAGAAAGGCGGGACTTTGCCTGACCGTTGTATGCCAAGTGGGTCAGAGAGTTTTGCATGATTGAAAACATGGAATTCTAGATGGCCTTTAATTCACTAAGATCTTCCTTCACACCAAACTTCCAGTTTGGGTGCATGTTAGTTGGGATTTAAAGGAATTTGGATTTCACAGCATAAGATAGCAACTAGTTTAGAATAGCTTTCGCCAACTCATGCAACCAATTTCCCTTTTTTTTTAATCTGAATCTCTTAGAATCACTATTGTACATCAGGGAATGATTTTTAGAAAGCTTAATCACTCTTGATTTTGATTATTTTTCACTGGTATAGCCCCTTACCCTACAAAGAATAGGCCGAGTTAGAAAAACCACACGAATAATTTGCCATAGCTTTATTTTCTTTCTGCTTCAACCAACCTATCAGAAGAGTAATCTGTAGTCCAACTTTCCCATGATGAATTACCAACAAAAGCCAACCAGAACATCAAACAAGCTTATTGTTCATAGTTTTACTTAGAACCAAAAACCAGATACTTTCCATTTAGAACTCGCATCAACCCATATTCACAGCCAAAAAAGAAGTGCTTATCTAAAGCAAACATCTTCCACTAGTGAGTTCTCTAATATTTAGGTCCAGAAGAGTGCCACTTTAGTACCGCAGTAAACTGCATCCTCACCTCATTTAATCGCACAGCGATATATTACAAAACCACAACATAGCATCATCTAACCATGATCGAACACGACCTATCAATAATCTTAGCAATTCATAGTAGTAAGTGATTAACAACAAGACCATGAGAACCAGAACACAAGAAAGCAGTCTTCATCCACAATCATTTTACCTTCTTGTGATGCTCATGTGACCCAGCGATAACCATGGCGTCGACATCAAGCGAGTCGACACGCTTAGGCTTCTTCCACAACCTCCTCCTTGAACTCGACTCTTCCCCAAACCCCACAGGCCCTGCACTCCAGTCCTCTCCTCTGAACGACCATTGCGTCGAATCGGAATCCACCTCGCTTCCGTCCACCCATCTCGACTCCGACCCCGTTACGCGCCCGGTCGGCGCCTCCTCCTCAATCCCTCCCTCCATCACCCCCCTCTTTCCCTTTCCCCTGCACTCCTGTGCTTCAATCTTTCCTCACCAAGGTTGGATTTTTATTGCGTTTGCTGCGTTTATGATTTTTTTTCTATTCAATGTTGAATTTTGAAGAATAAATTAGGGGTGGGGACGTTTATACCAATTCAAATAGCCGGTCCGTGTGATCTTATCTAAAAATTTGACTAGAATTTGATACGAAAATTTTAGGTTCGGGTCCTGATTTTCGATCCATTTTGAATTTTATATCGGATTCGGATTGACTCGAAAACTCAGTTTTAACCTAGAATCCAGCCAGCAGCGATTTAGAGAACAAGGGATCAAAATGTTGTAACTTTTGATCCAACTGGAATGGAACGTCGGCCAAGGAGCAAAGTCGAACAGGTACGAAGTGGGCATTACCAACGGCGGAGACAACGTGACACTGCACCGCGTCGTCCAAGGAGCGAGCGAACTCCCGTCATTGCTTCCGATCAAAATGTTGTAAACATGTAACTTATGATCCAACATGAAGGGAATATCGTCCACACAGCGAAGTTGAACAGATTTGAAACCACTCGGCTCCTCCGGTCGTTGCTTCAAATCAAAAAATTGTACCTTCTGATCTAACTGGAAGGGAACGTCGTCCAAGGAGCGAATTCGAATAGCTACGAAGAAGCATCTGAAAGGGAGAAAGTTACCTTCACAACAAGCGAACTCCCATCGTTTCTTCCGATCAAAATGTTGTAACTTCTGATTTTGACTGGAAGGGAATAACGTGCAAGAAGCGAACTATGTGGGTCAGGTTCGAGTTGACTCAAGCCCAAAGAGGATCGAGTTTGGGTCTGAAAAACTGACCCGTTTGCAAAAATGGGTTGGGTTCATGTTAACCCGAACAATGTTGGATTAGTTTCAGGTTGAACCCAAATCCAATCTGTGACCCGATTTTGACATCCCTAATCCTTAGAGGTAATAATTTGCTGTGTTATAAAGAAAAAAAAATCATATGCAGACTCTTTGGATACTATTTTTGAATAAATGTAGCGCCTACACCAAGTAGTAAACAAACTAAACACACTACTAGGATACTGTTTAGGAGAGCCACATTGGAAAGAAATTAACTAATTACCAAAAGTGAAATGAAGAAGTCATAGGAAATTTCATGTTTTTTTTTATGCATCAGAAATTTTCATTGCATATCTCTAAAATTAAAAATAAAATCAATATAATTAGTGAAGTTAAAATAGATCTAACAAACTATAAAAAAAAAGTATTGATAAAAAGGACTATCAATCAATATGGTATATCAATATGCAATAATATATTGTATCAGTATCAATACAAGTTATATCAATATAATTTCAATTTTATTTATCAATAATTTTAATGTATTATCATAAAAATGAAATCATAAGTATAATTATGAAGAGCAAGGTAGGACATCCAGCTTTAATTTGGTATTTTCAACCTTCCATCTTTATATGTCATATCTATCTATCTATCTATCTATCTTATATTATCTTTCGTTTATTTCTATTAATCACTTATTTTTATATTTATTTTTTATTTTAAGATCAATATTAGACATAATTTTAAATATCACTTATCAATTTTGCAAGAAAAATCCACCACCACATCACAAATCATGCATCAAATATACATCTCTTTGATATAAGCTTATTTATTTATGATGTTTATAGAATATTGACAATAAAATTAATTGTAAGATCAGCCTATGAAAGATTTTGAAACCTACAATACTAAAATATTTTTGGAAGAAAATTAAAGTAGATATTGAAGATGCTGATAAACAAACTATAATTATTTCAATTAAATAAAAAAATGCTTAAATATAATTATATATGTAAATAATATAATGAGAAATTGATTAAATTAATTTAAAACCATAAAAAGAGAATAAAAGTGGCTGATTACTTTGATAAAATTGAAGAATTAATTTAGAAGTGTTGTTTTAGTGTAAGCTTGAAGGATTACTATAGATAGATTAATTAATAAACTTGAATTTAATATTACTATATAAAACTCAAAAGGGTTATAAGAATAAAAAGATGTTACAGGAATTTACCCTTTAGAGATATAACATATTTATCTAGCATTTTAAATGAATAGTATAGAATACTACCTACATTAAACTATTGTGCGCTTCTCCTCCCTTCATACACCTCGCCCATCGAACCATCCGGAAGCGAATCAGAACGCGCCACGTTACCCGGTACATAGCAAAAAAGTGACGTGACACGTTCTGATTCGCCTCCGAACGGCATCTGTATCCTCACAAAATAATTTTACCGCCGGAAGTCCTTCATAAAAGTCAGGCATCAAGTAAATTCATAAGAATCCTATAATATTTTATCAAATAAGCTCTCTCTTTCTCACACTCACATAAAAATAATAATTAAGAAAAAAAAAAGCCTAAACACCTTTTCATATGGCTATGCACAATAAAATTTGAAGGTGGGTATGGCTTAGATCAATGACCAGCCTGGTAATGGCTGCTCAAGGTAAGATATAGGCATAGAAAAGTAGGCAAATTATTGCATCAGGTCACCGGACGTCGAGATAGGTATAGGTCCAGATATTAATAAAATATTATTTTAAATTAAGTGCAGGTAAAGCGCAACTAAAGCGCAAGTCAAAAGCGCAACTAAAGCGCAGGTAAAGCGCAACTAAAGCACAAGTCAAAAAGCGCAGGTGACGCGGCAATTTTTTATTGGATGTCCGAACTTATTTTTCGCGTCCGGTGACCGGATGCAATAATTTGCCTAGAAAATTATGTCTCAGCTTTGTTGAGGGGTCAAAGGAGAAGCTATGATGAGATTTGGGAGCAAATAAGGCAATGATAAATGTCAGTGATGAGGTGATGCACATTGTTGGTGAGTGGTTGTAATTCCTATCGAATATGTGCACATTTTAATTACCAGTATTGGATTGGTTTGTTAAAAGTACCTCACTAAATTTTTGTGTTTACATCTCTTGCATGTATTTGAGATTGAGTCTCAAGGATCTGTGTGCATGGTTTGAAAATATGAAATTTTTCCTATTGGGTGTTGAGGTCAAGGTAGGTGTCACTTGAGGCATCGGGCTATATGCTAAGCATTGAGAGTTATAAGGATTTGTTTACTAATATGATAGCATAAGGAGTTATAAAGGCCCAAATTATAATATAAAATTTTGATGGGAGGTATAAAGGCTTAAGAAAACATGTTACTTTATGTTTTAATATATGAACTACTTGCTTATTTACTTTAGTGCACAATTTAATTTACTTCAATTATATTTAAATTATATTATGTTTAGTACAATAAATTTCTAATGAACTGTCTTTACATTTAATTAACATAATGAGTACATTATAAAAAAATTAGATTGGTGAGTGTGACTTGCTGAGCTGCGTTGGCTCACACATATTTTGCATTTTGATTCAGGTTCTAAAAAAGGGTAGGAGTCGGTTGAATAGTTGTGATCCCAAGTTCTGATATGCTAAGTCTATTGACTATTTTCTTAATTTGTGTACAATGATGGCTATTTGTTTGTTTCCTTTGTTTTAGTGGACAACCATATATATACTATGAACTATAGATTTTGTTGCAAATGCATTTTTGATGTTGAATGAAAAGAAATTTGTAGAAGAGCTTGTTTTTATTATGCTCACTGAAGTTAATTAGAAACTCTGTGGTTTGTGTAATTTAAAATTAAAATGAAATTTGAAAACCCCTCAAAACATAGATGTTGGGTCGGCCTGTCATAAGTTAGCACGATACGACATGTTCTATTTGTATGTCTTATTGTGTTGGATGGTGACGGTGGTATTTGTGAAGAGGTATGAACGTGTGCTCTAGGCTCATAGGAGAGGCAAGGGAGAGGGGAATCATGAAAATGAGTTTTTTGCACGCGTTTGATCAACTCATTTTTATTTCCTACAAACAAAATTTTTTGATGAGAAATATATTTCCAACTATCATCCATTGATAATAGTATGTTTTCATTTAGTACATGTCAACAAATTTATCTTAAAATAGGTGATTGTTAAATACATGAATAAAAATTTTCTTACTAATCATAATTTCTCCTATCGTGACAAGATAACCCTTCAATATTTATCTTTGATTGAGGGTTTGATTTGATTTCATTTATTTTTGGGATGAGAAAAAAGTATGATATATATATGATTCTTTCCGGCCATATATACCTTTTCTTTAAATATTTCCCGTAGGGTTACAATTATTGTATCCCAACCATTTGAATCATTTTGGACAAATAAATTTAATCTATTTATCTAAATTTAAATAACTTCAAAAAATTAAAATGAATTAGATGAATAAACTACAATAGCTAATTAAGACAATAATTGCGAAGGATTCACATCTCAACAGCTTAAGATTTGTTTGAGTCATCTTTCCAGCTGTTTGGTTTTTCATATTGCAATCATATTTCTATTTGACTATTGTTTTTTTTTTTTTGTTGCTTTCTTATTATTAAAAAAAATTTAATAAGAAGTTATTTTTTGCAACAAGTTTTATTAATATATGAGAGCTATATAAAATATTTGTAATATTTATAATATCCATTAAAAATATTTTTTATAATAAATTTATTTTCATCTTTATAAAAAATTATGCCCTTATGAATAATTTCATTGCATTTTGAATAACATTTTTAATTATTTTAACATTCCTCCAATTGCCCACTTACCGTTATAGCATGCACCTTGCCCCAAAAAAAGTTGAGAAGTTTTTTTTTTTTAATTTTTTTTTTTAAGTTGAGAAGTTAATTCTTAACTGATTTATTTATACATATAAATACAAATAATATGATTTTAGGCCTAGATATTGGGAGAATATTTATTTTTTGTCTTTCTTTCTGGCCCAGATATTCCTCCTGGCTTTCAACTACCAGCAAAATTGACTCTTTTTTTAGGAGAAGCCAGGAAACTTGACTCCAGTTCTCCTGCAACAAGATCCTACCAGCTCGCCGGTGAAGATGCCGGGCCCTGGACCACACATGATGTACGCGCTCGGCGCCGGAACTGGCCTCATGCGCTTAAGCCATGGCCGTTTCACTCCTCAGCACTGCCTCTTCTACGCTTTGAACGCCTTCCTCGGCCCAGATCTCGGTTCCTTTGCCGAATGGCTGGCTTCCTTTTTTCCTGCCGGAACCGCCGGCCGCCGCCTTGGCGGCTTGGCCATGGAATTTGTTCATCACCCTTTCTATTACATCCTGGTTCTTGGATTCCCACTTTCGTTGTTATATGCTTGGCTCTCCCGCGTCCTTCTAAACAAGGGTTTGGTTGATACAGTTTCAGGGGTAAGTTTGGTACTCTTTTCTTGTTTTTAGGATTTGGGTTGTTTGGTTTTCTAAAATGGGGGTCTTTATTGGTTTTTTTAGGTTGCTTTGAGTAGGAAACAGTGCTTCTGCCTTGTGGCTGCGGGTTCTTTGTCACATTTTTTCCTTGATCATCTGTTCGAGGTGAGTAATATGGACGAGTTGATAGTTTTGTATGATGATTTGGTTGTTTAATTGTTTCATTTCCAATCTGACGATATGCTCTTGACTTGTTAAAACATGCGCGAGGAGTTGAGGGGGTCGCCTTTCGGATGGAGTGGAAAATTAATGTTGTTACCGTTGGATAGGACAAAAGCCCGGGTTGATTGGGATTTTGAGAACTTGTTGGAGCTTTCAACCCCTTAGTTCAGCAAATAATATTTTGAACCTGGTCGTGATCCTTAATTACTTCGGTGGATCCTTACTTTGCCTCGCCATCTTATGCTCTATCACCTCTCTTCGTGCAATCTCTTTGGAACCAGGAGGAAGCCTTTGCAGCAATTTGCAATTCTCAAAGTTGTTTCAGTTACTATTTGTAAAATTTCTTCAATTCCTAAAGCAGCTTTCCTCTCTGATTCGCCTTTATCAGCTTTGCAGAGCTCCACGTTTCTAGTATCCTTGCTGCAGCAGTAGTGAGCGATAGGTTGATCCTCAATGTCTAAGAGTGTCATAACCGTGGTCTAGAAAGTGATGCACTCTGGCAACACAATACATGATTAAGGTATAAAAAAACATATTTTGCACCCACCAAAGGAAAAATTAATACAACAATAACAATAGCAACGTTAAGCCTTTAGAATCTTTTTATCCATTTGTTAAGAGTCAAATTCTCATTAAATATAATAAAGAAATGTCATTTCAAATATTTTCTAACTCTGTCTTTTTAAGTCTACCTCTATCTTTCTTAACATAAGCCAAATTTAATACATTTACTTTTCTAATCGGGTCATCGGAAGACCGTTGTTTTATGTGACCAAACCATCTAAGGAAACTCTCTCTAATCTTATCTTCCACTATAGCTACTCCAACCTTTTCACATATATGCTCATTTTGTATCCTGTCTCTAAGAGTAAAGCCACTCATCTACCTGAGCATCCTCATCTCCGCAACACTTAATATTATGCTTCTTTTTAATGACCAATATTATGCACCATAAAGCATTGCAGGTCTTTCCACCATCTTATAGAATTTTTGCTGAAATTTGAGGACTTTTCTATCACACAATATGCCCAGTGTATTCCTCCTCTTCAACAATCCAACTTGAATTCTACTAATAATATCCTCATCTATTTCACCATCACTCTGAACAATAGACCTAAGATATCTAAAGCGTGTACTCTTATTAATTACTTAATCGCCCAAAGTCACAATCCCCCACTAGATTTATTACTACTAAAATTATACTCCGTATATTCAATTTTAGATCTACTCAAATGAAAACCTTTAGACTCTAAGCTTGACCTCCATAATTCAAGTTTATCTTCAACTCCGTCTCTAGTCTTATCAACAAGAAGAATATCATCATCAAAAAGCATACACGAGGGTACAACCTCTTGCAAATTTCTTTTGAGAACATCCATGACTAAAGCAAAAAGATATGGGCTTAAGGCTAATTCTTGATGTAATCCAACTAAAATGGGAAAATACTTGGTCAAACCACCTTGTGTTTCAGCACAAGTAATAACTCATACATACATATACTTAACGACTTGAATATAAGCATTATTAACCCCTTTATTTTCTAGAACTCTTGGAACTTTATCATATGCTTGCTCTAAATCAATAAATATCATATGTAGATCCTCCTTATTCGCTATATACTTCTCCAGCAAACCTCTCAATAAATGTATAGCTCTCCCATAGTAGACCTACTTGTCATTATTCCAAATTGATTTTGAGAAAAATTAGTATCACGCTGTAACTTATGCTCCATAACTCTCCCATATTTTTGAAGTATGACACATTAACTTAATTCATTTATAATTCTCACAATCTTGTGCTTCACCTTTATTCTTAAAATAGGAATCAACACACTCATTCTCCACTCATATGACATCTTTTTAGCCTCAAAATAATATTAAAAAGTTTAGTAAGCCAACAAATTCCTTCTTCTTCTATGCATTTCCACACCTCTATTGGAATTATCATCAGGTCCAATATCTTTTTCACACTTCAATTCGTTTATTTTAAAGCCTCTCTAACTCGGTTTTACTAATATGCCGATTAAAATAAAAATCTTTATTTTCATTTTAGGCGTTTACGTCACTAAAGTCATTCGTATTCTCACAATATTCACTGAAAAGTTTAGCAAAATATCTCATCCACCTTTGTTGAATGTCCTCTTCTAATAAAAACACTTTTTGATCTTCATCCTTAATGCTCTTCACTTGCATTAAGTCCTTATAACTCATATCTCGTTATTTGACTAACTTATACATATAGCTTTCGTCCTGCTTAGCATCTATATCATTAAAAATTAAGATCTTTGCATCGCATATTACTTTTTTAGACTTCTTACAAGCCTCTTTATATTTTTTTCAATTATAAGAATTTTTACATTTAAATTAATTTTTATAAAAAATCTTTTTATTTTTAGTACTTTTTTGCACATTTTGATTGTACCACAAACTATTTTTACTATTAGGAACTTTTTCCTTTGATATTCCAAACACATCCTTTACAACATTCTTAATATAATTAGCTATTTTTTCTCATGCAATATTAGCTTCCTCCTAGAATCTTACCCTCAAAAATAGTTTTACTAATATTCTTTAAATGCCCACATCTAATCCTAGAATAATACTTTAGTTTTTTTTTTATTTATATCTCTTCATCTTAAAGTTCAAAACTAATAAGCAATGTTGAGTACATACAATTTCATTCAGAATAATTTTACAATCTTTGCAATATAAATAATCTATTTTCTTATAAGAAAATAATCAATTCGAGTTTTACTATATCCACTCTTATAAGTGATGAGATGTCCATCGCTTTTCTTAAATAAAATATTAACAATTACAAAATTGTAAGATAAAAAAAATTTAATATGATCTTACCATTTTAATTAGTCACTTCAAATTCATAGCCACCATGAATACCTTTAAAATCATCTATTTATTTACCAACATGTCTATTTAAATCTCCTCTAATAAAAATTCTTTCTTCAAGAGTTTTTTTTTTTATTAATTCTTCTAAGTCGTTATAAAATTTTAATTTTGAACATATATACAAATCTATTTGAGGAATATAAACACTTATAATATTAATAATCTTAGCATCAATAACAATCTTTAAAGCTATAATTCTATCTCCAATTTCGTTAATTTTTACAACATTATTTCAAACTCTTATCTATAATCACAAATACACTATTTCTAGTACGACTCCTGCCAGAATACCATAATTTAAATCCTAAACTATCAATTTTCTTGATCTTGTCTTCAACCTATTTAGTTTTTTGAATGCATAAAATATTTATCTTTCTATGAATCATAATATATATTAATTCAATTAATTTGCCTGTAAGGTAACCTATATTCCAAGTTTCTATCTTAATTTTAATTTCATGGAGTAGCTTCTTTGCCCATATCCATCTATGATGTGAGAACCTTGCCTATTTAACATTGCACCCGAGCAAGGAAACAATAAAATAGAAACAACTATTTTCATATCAAAGTAAACATATTAGAGTATATAATAGAAAGAAACTAAGATTTCATTATTATAAATTCAAATCAAATTACATCAATAAAATAGAAACAACTATTGAAACCCTTGTATATTTGTTATTTTGTAGTCATTCATAAGTTATTAACAAACTTACTCAATCCTTTTACAGTGAATGTAGGTCATAAGACTGAATCACTTAAACTCTTTGTTTCTTCTCTATGCTACTATTTTTTTGCATACTCGTACTTATTTGTAGCTAAAAATAGAATAATTCTTATTTATTAATCAATTATTGAGTGTATTGTCTTATTTGGCTAAATCAATTTTTCATGTATTTGAAAGTTTTAGATTTGTTTTCATTTATTTTATTATTTTTTTATATTATGACAAGTCATCAATTCACGTAATATTATTTTATTGGCTTCTAAAGCTTTCAAAAGTTGTCTAGGTTTTAAAAAAGCCTATAAATAGGATATTGCTTTGTACTTCTTGATTCATTAAATAAAAAACTAATTTTGCTTGCACTAAATTTATGTGAAAAGACTTTTGGTGACTGTTCTATTTTACGGCGAAGCTTGGTGGCTCCCTTAGGTTTTGTTGAGTCCTAGTTATCTTTTCTCACACTTATTTCTCTTTTTTCCCAATACAATTTTCATCTCCTCTATATAACATCGATCCTAGCTTTTAACAATCCTAAAATATATCAATCTTCTTCAGAACTCTCTCAAATATTTTTCCACATTCCTCATAATATTCGAATGGTTTAACTCGCTAATAATCCTAAAATATCATTGACAAAATCCAAACGTAGAGAGATAATTTTGTGTTGTAAGCAACCGAATTAAAATTATCATAACTTTTTTACAACATATCCAAAATCCATGAAAACACTATCATTAGTTTCCTTGCTTCCCAAACCTTTGATTCGGAGTTCTTCCCAATTATTTTTCTGGAAAAAATTGCCCTTTGATAGCATAGAAGTTTCAGCCCTAAATACGTGCACATCCTAAACACTAGTTTCATTACCATTCAAATAACCCTTCCACCATCACCCTAAGTGGGCATCATTCAAGTTGTTGCCTTTACCATGAAAGATCTTATAATTTAAAGTATAAGAGAAGAGAGATTGGGAGAGCTTCAGGAACTAAAGTATCATCTCTGTCATACTTATCATCTTTATGCTAATGGCACCCCTATATATATAGGAAGAGCCCACTAAACTTAATAAAAAAGACAGCATTATCCTAAGCATATCTTCGAACATTTAAAAAAAAAAAGTCAATCTCTCCCACTATGAAATCTCTTTTTTTAGGTGGCAGACATTGTGGAGAAGGGGGTGGCACAAGCTTAAGGATCTCTAGGATGCCTCAAGTAGTAGATATGGAGACTTCTACTCAGATAACGCCAACTAAAAAGCATTTGAATCACCACAACAAGGATGAGGGAGCATGGCTACTCGTGTTTGCACAAATTTAACATGCTCAGCCTAATTGTAAAAATGAGAATAAAAACTCCAAAAGCTAGACTTTACTCGATAGAAACAAATATATGTGAGATTATCTAATCTGAATGTTAGTTGTTCTAACATGTTGGAATAACAACATGTTGGAATTAAGTATGTTTGACTGGATTTCTTATGCGGGCTCTAGAAGTCTAGGTAATTATATCAATGACAATCTAAAAGTCTCAGATAAGTCTCAACATAGCATCTTAGGTTTTGTTTGAGACGGCGTTCTTATTGCTTCTCAAAATAACTTTTTAGTATACAAATTTTATTTTTTGTACTAAAAAGCTGCTCTGAGAAGCATGAAAAAAGCCGTCCCAATCGAAACCTTAATGTTGCATGGATGGAATAAACTATTTGTTATGCTTTCTATTCACGACGTTTTCTCTATTTTCAGAATGAGAGATTTGTGAAATTTGGAATGGTTATATGCTTCTTGTTTGGATACAACTTCTTGGATAAAGCACTGTATGATAGGAACGTTATGCCATTAAAACGTTCAAAAGAAATATTCATAGAATGTTTCGCAATTTACAGTTATCAACATCATCATTTTTATATTACCTTTAGTTTAGTTGCTATTTTCTTTTTGTTTTATTGACGATGTATCTCACTTTGCAGGAAAATGGTCATTCTTCAATGTATACATGGATATTGAGTACCGGTTGGTGGCAAGGCCGGGCTCCCATTAATCCAGATTCTGTTATCATAATAGGATTCTTGTGCACTTGTTTGATTGTGGGATTTGTTTATATCAATAGGTAACATTATCAACGCTTTATTTATATTTCTTAAAAATTATATTATTTTAGTATTATGCTTGTTGATAGAAAACTTAGGATAAAAATATTCGGAGGATTTAAAATAGGGAATGCTTTGATATAATTTGGTCCACCTGGAGGTCTTAGTTGTGGTGGATGTCTGGCTAATTTGGAGTGTTGAATACTTTGAACTGCTATTCATGAAATTCTCTTTGGTAAAGTAAAAAACTTCAGGAGCTTCAATTATCAAATGCATACTCTATCCTTCATCTTGAAAGTGAACGGATTCCTTGATTTTAGGAGGCATTTGTTCGCCATTTCATAGCTTTAAGAATTTAGGCATATTACTCAACCTAAAAAATCTTTTTTTTTTTCATAGAAAATATTTTTTTCATAATATTAGAGAAGAAAAAATCTCTATTGTCGGTCCTAAGTCTAAATTAGAAAGATGGATAGTTGATGTTAAAATGACAAACAATCATAAAACTTCAATCAAAACTTATTAAATGAATCCAATTTTTTAGTATTACTTGTGCGAGGGTGTTCAACGGAAGCGACATACCCTTACCTAAACAAGTTTCAGTGTTAAGTTGAAAAGTTTTATTAGGATGTCACTTGTAAGTGACACATATCATGACCTAACTTGATCATTGTGATAAAAATAGGCATAAGTTGGCTTGAATGCCACCCATTAATTGGTGTGTTGTAACTTAGGCTTCATTTGGGACGGCTTTCTTTCTGATTTTTAAAACAGCTTTCTAGTACAAAAATTTTAATTTTTATACTAAAAAGTTGTTTTAAGAAGCATAAAGAAAGCCGTTCCAAATGAAGCCTTAATCTAGTTGTGATGAAAAGTGGGCAAGAGTTGAAAAAGTCTAAAATTAAAATTAAATTTTATATAAGAAAGATAGCAACTTTGTTGGAAGGCAAGAGAATTGCAGATACTATGATTCAAAGAAGAATTAATGTCACTTGTTTGCAAGAAACAAAATTAAAATGAGAAAAATTCATGGACCTTGGGGAATGATATAACCTATCGTATGTTGGGAGGGCTAATGATAGGAGTGAGTTACAGATTTTGTTAGATAAAGAGTTTGAAAATAAAAGTGTAGTAGGTTTAGAGATATGGTGATTTCTATTAAGTTAATTATTGATAAATGTATTGTTAAAATGCTTAGTGCTTGTGTTTCTTAAGTTGAATTAGAAAATAATTTATAAAATCAATTTTGGAAAGTGATGGAGAAGCTATTTTAAATATTTGAGAAAAAGCTGATAATTATTAGAGGCAATTTAAGTTGTTGTTATCATATAACAGGTTGTTAGTGGATTCATGGTGGTTTTGGAATAGGAGATAAAAATATTATGGGGCTAAACTTGCATTCTTATTAGCATACGAATTATCAATAGCTAACACCTTAAGAAATGAGCAGAACAATTGACTATTTATTCAAGTAGAGCAATAAAATCACAAATGAATTTATGTTACTAGGAAGGAAAGAAAAATGCTTTTTAAAGATAATAAGGTGGTTCTTAGAGAAAGTTTGATCATACAACATAGAGTAGTAGTTATCAATATATATTTAGAAGTATAAAAAGTAAAATGATCAAATTGAATAATTGTCCTAGTATGGAAGGTGAAAGGTAAGAATTATTAATTTTTCAAAAGAGGTGTGAAGAGTGCTAAGTTGTAGTGTTATTGTTGGGCTAAATTTGATGAGAGAAAGATGGGCAAGTCTATTAATATGATTGTTGTTGAAGTTTCAAGAGATTCTAAAAGTATATCAACGTAAGGAGATTTTTTTGTAAAGTTAGGAGGTATAAAATATAATTAGAAGGAAGAAATGTTCTTTTAAGATGTGACAAAAATCAAATACTGTTGAGACAAAATGATTAAGGAAGCTTTTTTATGTGTTAAAAGGTTAGGAGTGCATCAAAAGCTATAACATTTGATGATTGTTTTGTAGACTATATAGTTAGGAAGGTAAAATGCAAGATATATAAAATAGTTAATGTGAATTAAAGACTTGGATTGAGTTGGGTTGCATAAGAGTGGCAATAATAAAATATAGTTAAAATGGGTAGAACTTGTTCAAGGTAAATTGCAAAGAATATGTGTCATGCCCTTGGTAGCACTAAGCTGGTAAGAATGAAAAATAAGGATTCATAAAGCCAATTCCAAATAGTTAGAATAGGACTAATGATATTGATGATAACAGTAAAATTTTGTTGGAAGTGTAGACATTAAAGAAAGCGAGAAATGCCACTTTGAGAAATTGTGAAATTAGAGATCTTTTGGAAGAGCATAATGAAAAGAGTAGTGAGTTAGATTATTGATTGATCTAAAAAGTGTAAATGGAGTCGACTCAAAAGAAGATGTATCAAGGAAAATCTTAGATTCCATACGAGATGCATTTTGATATTTGGAGTCATGGGTTGTATTGGAATAATTTGGCTAATAATTTTTTAAAATAAAATTTTGAACTAATGAAGATGCCATATAATTGAAGAACAATTTTGTTGATGCCTTGAACAAAGTGGGTGTTTAGGATAATGGTAATTATAAGAGAAAAGAGTCCAACAATAAAGTTGTAGAAGAGAGTAATAAACCAACTTAAGAAAACAAGCATTGATATTGGAGAATCAATATGATTTTGTGGAAGGAAGATTTATTATGAAATTATTTTTTATGATATAATAATTAATGAAAAATAAAAATATCAAATAAAATATATATATATATATATTTTTTCAAATTTTCAGAAATTATGTGCATGAAAGAAAAAAGATGTTTGTCAAAAGTATAAATGGAGCATTAACTAGTATTCAATGTACTTGTAGAGTAGCAAAGAAGTTTCAAATCAGGGTAGGTTTACCATCAATAAGCAACATTATGTTCACACTTTTTGAAATTGGTCATAAAAATGCTCATGTAGAGTATTCAAAGTGAGATACTTTGATGTATACTTTTTGCTTATGACATTGCCATAATTGTTTGGATCTTTGTTGAAATAAGTTGAAAGTTAGGACGATGGAGAAAAAGTTTAAAAGATAAAGGCTTAAGATTAGTGAAACAAATATAGACTATATGATATATAATTCTATTAGTTTGATATTGCTAATTACGGGGTGATGCATGCATGTAATAGGCTTAAGTATGTTGGATCTATTTTTAAAATAATTTAGGGTTTATAGATGTGATCTAAGTTCTATAATTAGGAGTGGAATGTTTAAATAAAGTAGTGATTCAGTAGTATATGCATAACAGGATATCATTGAGTTATGAAGGTAGATTTTCTAAAATTACAATTGGGCTAACAATATTGTATAAATTCGAGTTTAGGATAGTAAAGAAGCCATTTATAGATTTTGAAAAAGTTCAGCATTTTAGTTTTGAGAAACATTTATATTGGAGGGACATTGGGTGAAATATCTTTTAGAGGTAGGAAAATGAAAAGTAAACTTTGATAGTTTGAGATAGAGGATGATGCATTAATAAGATAGGTAGATAAAGTTAATGATAAAGGATTATAATGAAAAAAAGGCAGATTTAATGTAACTTGATAAACATTGTGCAAATAATTTGCACATAGTATGTTTTGCGCCTTTGCAACACTCAAATATCAAATGGAGAATGAGGATTATTACGTCACTAATAATAGTTGAGATAAGACTAACGATAGTGATGATAATGATAATATTATTAAAGAATCTATGGTGATCGACCAATCAGCAAAATCTGTACTTTCCTATGCTTGCTGCTCAATGTTTATTTATATCATGCGTTTTGCATATTTATCTTTAACTAGAATACAAAATTATTCTGTACGGAGACCAGACGGCGAGAACCATATGGATTTGCTATGCTTTAGATGTTCTTTTGCTGCGCTTTTATAAATACTCAACAAAAGAGCAACAAATATGCATTCATAATTGCACTTTTGCTGAATATTTATAAAAGAGTAGGAAAATGGCAGCTAAAGCGCAACAAATATCCTATTAATTGAATATTTACTAAAATTTTCCTGCTTTTTTGTAAATACTCAGCAAAATGGCAGCAAAAGTGCAATTATGAATGCATATTTGTTGTCATTTTGATGAGTATTTGCAAAAGCGCAGCAAAGAAGTAGTAAAAATCCGGACGATTCTTGCCGTCCGGTCTCCACACAGAAAAATTTCTCCAACTTATGACTGCGTTAGTGCAGTCACTGAACAAGCTTCAAACACTTGTAATATAGTAAAACCACTGGTTACTGTAAGCTAGCCTAGAGAACTCAGCTTATTCATTTTCTTTTCCCTTGCTTTTGATCACTTCAGGTTTTGCTTAGAAAGATTAGAATAACTTTTTTTTTTTAGAAAGATTAGAATAACTGAAGAAAGATAGCATAGCTTCTTCCACTCCATTATTACATCAAATCACTCTACTTCAAGTTCTTCAAGCTCCACTCTACTAAACCAGTCGTTGACTATCACTTTCTTCGTATATTTCTCTGCAGAGTGAAGCATGGAGAATCCATTATAACAAATGCAAACAAATCATTGAGATTAATAATGGCGATAGCAAGCTTTTACTGCGTTTGGTGCATGATTCAGATATACCTGCGAACCCCTCCACAGCCAGCCGTTGGTGAAGAGGCAGATCTTGGAGTGCTGGTATTCCTCGCCATCTACTTCTTTCTTCCTCATTACTTCTGCATCTTCTCAGTTACCCAGAAAGATTATGGCAATGAGCAGCTGCCATTATAGCTCATATCTCATGTTGTATATCTTCAGCTGTAAGTAAATAAGAGCCGAGCTACATACTCTGTACATGAGCGAGCATATCTATTAGTTTTGTTATTAAAGTTAAGTCATAATCAAGCTTTAATGAAGACTAATTAAATATTTTATGCTATTAATCTTAACATATATTGCCATTGAAAAAAAAATACCCTTAAGATTTTACTTTTAGAAAAATAAATATTTTAGAAGGGGAGCAAATTGGGTCAAATGTCCTATTTAAACAAAATTCAATAATTACAGTGCAAAATAATTTTGAAAATTTAATCCTCTTAAAGCTTATAGAATTTACTGAATCGTACCTTAGTTCAACTCGTTATAGCCAAACAGCCCTTGAGTTAGCAGTAATGATCTTCCGGGCACAAGGCTGGGAAAATATGACATAGGCAAACTGCAAATTGCTGATTTAGACCATCTCCAGCTGATTTAGACCATCTCCAACCGAACGCCAAATGAGTGTTTGGCGTCGTTCGGTCACTCCAGCCGAATGCCAAAACGTCTGTCATTTGCTTGCGGGTGAACAGTGGCGTGACAGTGCAACGCCAATATTGGCGTTGCACTGTTCACCCACGCTATTTTCCTCTCTCAACTGGAAAAACGCGCCAAAGGAGAAGGATCGTTACCTTCGCGCAGAAGCAAAAAAATGGCGTTCGATTGGAGCAGCACCGCGCCATTTTTGCGTTTTATGGTATTTTGGCGTGAAAAATGGAGTTCTCCGTTGGAGATGCCCTTAGGCAATATCATCGCTTGTAAATATGTTAGGGGGCTTTTTGTTAGTGGATTTATACTGAATTTGGGTTTCGTTTGGGACTTTTTTTTTTAATGTTTCTTAAAACGGTTTTTTTTGTGTGCTAGAAAGTCGTTTTAAGAAGCAGTAAAAAAGCCGTTTCAAACGAAATCTTAGACTTCATTTGGGGTAACTTTCTTACTATTTTATGAAGTAGCTTTTTAGTTCAAAAATTTTTATAATAAAAATTGGTTTTAAAAAGTAGTTTCAAATAAAGTCTTAAGCTTCGTTTGGGACAGTTTTCTTATTATTTCTTAAAGTAACTTTGTAGTATAAAAATTAAAATTTTTGTACTAAAAAATTATTTTAAGAATCATTAAGAAAGTAATCCCAAACAAAATTGATATAAATCCTTCCAAATAATCTTATTGTTGAAATTAAATGCCACGTGGCATAAATCCCGCTTCTCCTCCATTTTGATTAAATCATGTATTTACTAATTTCAAGAGTTTGGGGGATCTTTGGGATTTAGCCAAAAAGAGCGTGCTAAGGGAGAAAAATATGAACTTTTATTTGGTCCGGTCACAGGACGTAGTTGTACGTTCGGCCGCCAGTAGAATCGCGCCACGCGTTCTCACTATTTACTGCGCGCCCTTACAACCCAACCCGGAGCGGACCCAGGATTGCTAGGTATTGGTCGGTATTGCTATGTATTGGTCGATTTTGCTAGGTATTGCTCGGTATTGCTAGGTATTGGTCGATTTTGCTCTGCAATAACCAATACCGATCAAATACAGAGTTATAGAAAAACTCGGTACAACTCGGTATTGCTCGGTATTGGTCTTCACAGAGCGGTATTTCTCGTTATTGCCAAGCAATATCTAGCAATACCGACCAATACCGAGTAATACCTCGCAATACACGAACATAACATTCCCGGGTTCCGGTTCAGGTCAAATACCGAGTAATACCTCGTAATACGCGAACATAGCATTCCCGGGTTCCGATCCGGGTCAAGTCGTTGGGCCGCGCGGTAAAGAGTAAGAGCACGTGGCGACATGTTATTGACGGCCGAACGTAGCTCTACGTCCGGTTAGAGGATATAATAATTGTTCGAAAAATAAAAGTTATCTTCGCGCCTGGGAACTCTCGTTACTTAGTTTATTCTTTGATATTTTGAAATATATATCTAGTAAAAATTGAGGCAATGAAGAAGAGGCCGATCTAATTTGATATCACTATGATGAGGAAAAAACGTTCAACGTGTTTTGCAATAGGTAGGGGGAAGAGTAGAAGTTGTTGAAGAAAGGGAAGAAGCTTTTTTATGACGAGCGACTATTATGTCCTATCTATTTGTTGCGTTATGAAATATTTGTGACTGTGGAGAGTGATTTAATTTAACGTATTAACTTTGTACAAGGATCCATCACACAAATAAATTAGAGAGTATGATTATAGCATTTATGAGGGGACACAATTTTTACGTTGAAACACCTAAAAAGGAGAAAAATCATGGGGCCTAATCCAGTTTGAATGAATCCACTAGTGTTTGTAATCAATTACAAATGAGGCCTTTCCTTAGGAAGAAGGCCTTGACTTGATGTATCAAATATATATCATATAGAGTGCATTATATGGTGGGTGTTGGAAGAATCAGTGTTGATATGTTCGTTTGGGCGATATGATCATAGTCAGTGAGCGATGTATCCGAAGCGACAGGGATCAAAAGATTGTCATCAGACGACGGTGGTTGAAATCATTGTTTAGAAAAGTTTGTGTTTGATGCAGTGCTGATTTTTTTGCTAATTATTAGGTTTTTTATTTCTAAATATTATTTCTTTCAATATTTTAATTCGGATTAGTTGGATGACAATCATAAATTTCAATCAACACTATTAATTAATATTAGTAATAATCAATTATATACATTAAATATAGACATATTATTAAAAATTAAATTATCTTTAATAATTAAAATTAATGGATAAAAAATATTAACTAAAAAAAGGATATTATATGTGGTTTAATGATCACATTAAAATTGTTCTATTATATTTTAATATTTATTTAATCTTAAGATCGCCATAAATGAAAATATATATTTTAATTTCATTAATTATTAGTATTTTATATGAATTAAAAAATTTAAATCTTCTACTAAATAATTCATCAGAAATTAATGGAATTTAATCCTATTTGGATTGTGCTTGTTAAAGTTGGAACTGCGAGACGGAGAAGCTGCAAGTTGGAACTGCGAGACGGAGACGCAGCTTCGATTTCAGACCCTAGGCATGGAGATCCTTAACAAACTGAAGAATCTGGACGCCTACCCTAAAGTAAACGAGGATTTCTACAATCGAACGCTCTCGGGAGGGCTGATCACCATCGTTTCTTCCATCGCCATTCTTCTGCTCTTCATCTCCGAGATCCGTAAGTTGATTCTTTTTCCTTACAACAAATTCTTCCTTTTTTTTTTCTTTCGCTATTTTGCATTTTGAAAACTAGGAATTTTTCTAAAGCTTTCTCCATAAGAAAAGAAAGGGGAAAAAAGAAAAAAAAATGACAGATGTCGATTGATAGCAAGTTCAAACGAGATTCTATTTATATTTCTTATACTTTTTCAGTGATGTGTTTGCGATCAAATGGAGTGGGTTGGATTTTTAATGATCGCATTATTATGAAGGTTATTTCTTTATCATTCTTTGTAGTTATTGCATTCCCGGTGAATCCCGTGAAAACTTAATCTTTCTGAAAATTGATTCGCTTATGATTGTCAATATCTCGAAATAGGATCCTCATTTGAAGCTCATTTTGGGAAGCTTTACCATTAATCACTTGGTGGTAATGTCATCCTTTGGGGCATTTTGTCTGGAACACGAGTCATGATCATTGCTTTTCTGGTGTGGAAAAACTGGGTTATCATAAGGCGACTATCTCTAATCTTAATAATTCAACTCTAATACATCTACTTTTCTAACTGGGTTATCAAAAGGCTGATGTTTTATGTGACCAAACCATCTAAGGCGACTCTTTCTAATCTTATCTTCTACTAGAGCTACTCCAACCTTTTCACGAATATGCTCATTTCGTATCATGTCTTTAAGAGTAAAGCCACTCATCCACCTGAGCATCCTCATCTCTGCAACATTTAACTTAATATTATGCTTCTCTTTTAACGGCCAACATTTTGCACCATAAAGTATTGTAGGCCTAACCACCATCTTATAGAATTTTTCCCTTGATGACTCAAGATTGGATCATTATCAAAATTGATGTTGCCTTGTTGCTGAAGTTAGCTAAATCGCATGTATTTTAATAATTATTTTTGACATTTATTCCACAGTTGATGACATTGATTCTGCTACTTTATCAGCATATGCCATTGCACGATTAGAAAGACTACATCAACAAGTTATCCTACCAAGACTGAATGATACAAACATTCAAGCATTAAGAGGGTTCTAAAGATATCAATTCACTAAAAAAGAAAGAAGAAAGCGTTCATTATGTATGAGGATCAGCTTTATCACTTTGAAGAAGCTCTAAAATGATAGTGATGGTCTTTTATTAAATTGTTTTTCTTTTTAAAAGGTCACAGAATTAATCTTGAAAGAACATGATTAGTTGAAGGTGGATCTTCTCTTCACAATATTGATGTAGGCAAGGGGGGGGGTCAAATCAAATTTGATTTTTGACTCCTCTAGCTCATTAATGCCTAGTAAAAAATTAGCTCATTATGAGCTGATTTTTAGTTCATTTATTGAACTAAAAATTAGCTCATTATCTCTTAAAATGATTTTTCTTCTTTCCCTTTTTTTTTCTTCTCATTTCCTTGTCCCTTCCCCTTCCCCTTTTTTTTTCTTGTCTCTTGGAAAACCGTGGCTTGTATTAATTGGGGGCTGGATTCTATGCTTTGAATTTATGAGGGAAGTTAATGTTTTTAATGCTAGACATTACTGTTGGCTGATATTTCTATGCATGGCCTATTTCCGAAATTAAGTCTCCTTGGTTCCTTGAAATACCCCTTTGATTCCTGTTCTGGTTTTAATTGGGCTGTTTTTCCGAAATTGGGAGGCTTTTCCCGTGGCTGTACTGCTTGGGAACTTCCGCCTGTTTGCTGCCTTGGTTCCGTGAGATGTTGGCCATGGCTTGGTGGCTGAATTCAATGGGAAAATTGCTGACTTTTCCTTTGGGAATTCAGCCAGCCTTTGGAATGTTTTTCCCGTAATTGTGATGCTTTGATTTTGGTGGGCTGTTTGTTGTCCGTGAAGTGGCCTCCTTGGTTCCTGTTCTGATTAATGAAGGGCTGATTTCCGTGATCTCCTGGGCTGATTTCCAAAGGGACTTTTGGGAATCCTATGATCTAAAATGCTTGGGAGCTTGTAAACAATTATGATGTGGCTTTTGGCATTCCTCTTCTTTGCCTATAAATTGGAGATGTTGTTATGAAAAGAAAAGAGAATGATGTGAGTTATTTTTGGAGAGAAACCTGAGAGGTTTTTGGTTTTGGAAATCCTGCGGGCTCTTTCCAATCTTCTTCCCCTCCTCCTATGGGAATCCTGCGGGCTCTTTCCAACCTTCGTCTCGTCTCCTAATCTCTTTCTTCTCTCCATAGTAATCATTCCACCTGTATCCTTCTTCTCAAACAAGAAATGCAACTTTAGGTGTTTGTCTTGAAAGTGTCGTTTGAGTCGTTTGTAAGTCGTCAAGGTTTGTAAGGGTTTTGTAAGCCCTTTTATAATATGAAAGTGATGTTTTAGTTTATTTGTCTAATTAGTCTAATTTTTGCGAGTTATTGTAATCTTTTATTCTCTAGAAAGACTTTGTTTTTTGTAATAAAAAATTTGGGTCCCTCTCCCAAATTTTTGATTGCATCAAATATTAAGTGGATTTTTACGGGTTATTGATGAATCTTAAAAAAATGGTTTAATCAATCCTTTATGGATTCAACTAATTTACTTCATAACGAAATATGGTATTGTTTCCCAACACCCAATGCCTTAAGTGCTGCTATTGGTGCTTGCCTCAGTGAGTGGGCATTAAAAAGAATATTTATATTGTACATAGCTTTATCTTAATTATGAGTAATCTATTTTAAGAGTATAAAATGATAGTCATTACATCAAATTAAGTTGGGATAAATAATGAAGTTTCTATTTCTATTTCATTCCAAGTTTGAAAATCATACTAATCGAAATAAATTCAGGCAAAATTCTTTAGTTTGTAGTGTTTATATCCTTGGGGTAGTCTATTCTTTACTATGTATGCATCTTTCTTACATGCGTACTGTCTTCTCTATCATTGGATTGTAGCCCTCTACACCTTCCTTTATTCTTTTTAAGTCATCAGCTTCATTCTTAATATTTACTACTTTCGAACTTTGGTTCTTGCAGTTACATTAGCAACTTATTTCAAGGGGAACATGCTTGTTTTATCAATTCTTGATACTCTTTTCACATCATCTCATGCCAAATTTCATTATAAAACATATTTAATTAATAGCATTTGTCTCGAGTATCAAGAAAATGTGCTCACCTCACCCACTTGGGAGCTGTGATAGGCGCTATAGCCTATAGCCTTGCCCTTCCCATGTGTGAGGTGAATGCAGACTTTCCTTTAAGATCAGCAGGTTGGGCACATTTATGTTGGTTCATGAAATTAATGTCTTTCAGGCTATTAAAAAAAATGTCATTCACTTTAAGTAGTTTGAATCACTTTTTTGTTCTTCCCAGATGAATATTAGTCACAGTTATCCATGTTGCTAGGGTTCTAATAACATTTAATAATCATGCTTCGCTTTTTTCTACATGTTGCAGGGCTATATATTTATTCAGGCACCGAGACTAAGCTAATTGTAGATACCTCAAGAGGAGAAAGACTGCGTGTCAATGTCAGTTCTCGGGAAATTTGCTTGTTATTTTAGCTTAGTTGGTTCAAGTTTGTTTCTGAGTTGATAAATGATACCTATGCTGCATTTCATTCTTTGGTTTGCCCTTGATATTTAATTTAGAAGTTATGTATGTGCTAGCTCCTACTGCAGCTTTTAAATTACGCAGATAACAAACATTTCGGTTATGCATTTTGAATGATTCTGGATGTGATCTTTAAAATCCAATGAGCTCCACCACTGGGTAAATGCATTTTAAAATCCAACAATTTAATGGATAGAATAGCTTGATATTGCTGTTAGTCTTCATACTCTTGAAGAAAGAACTTACTGTAGAATTGATATGTTTCATCACTATCTTCTCTAATATGATGCAGTTTGTTTGAATATTGAGGTATGGTACATCTACAATAACATTAAAAGCGCACATTTAGGTTTCGTTTGGGATGGCTTTCTTGTTGCTTCTTAAAGCAGCTTTCTAGTACAAAAATTTTAATTTTTGAACTAGAAAGCTGCTTTAAGAAGCAGCAAGAAAGCCATCCTAAATGAAGCCTTAGTGGTTTGCTTTAAAATTACTAAATTAACTGTTTGTTATCCTCCATGTTAACTACATACTCTTCATTCACAACTGCGGCGTTTGATTTGATGTTATTATACTCTTGTTTGTGTGCAGTTTGATGTTACATTTCCATCCCTTGCTTGCTCCCTTCTGAGTGTTGATGCTATGGATATCAGTGGTGAGCGTCACTTCGATATTGTATGCCCATGGATACCATTCTTGTGTTTTCTTATAATATTTCCTTCCATTTCCTTTATATTGATGCTAATTGCAATTTCCATACAGAGGCATGACATTGTAAAGAAAAGATTAGATCATCTTGGGAAAGTCATTGATTCAAGAAAAGGTGATATTGGTGCACCACAGGTTGGCAGCATTTTCCTCAATGTTCACTCTTTTAACCTATTTCTTTCTTAGTGGGTCAAAATTTTATATTATTTACTTTTGTTAAGCAACGTGAGTACTCATTGCTAAAGTGCTTGCAAAAATTGTGTAGCTGAAACTCATTAGTTAGTGCAGTTTAAATATTTGCGATCATAATGGATTGCTTATTTGTTGGAGCCATCTTTGGATGAGTTCGAGTTTGAGGAAAACTGTGTAAATTTGTTGCTATTATGTTCGTTTTACGTTTAAGCTTGGTTCACTTTCTTTAAAGTAGTAGCTTTTGATGGGCCATTTTGACTTTATTTTTATGAGTCTCTGTTTGGGTGAGTAGATATAATTGTTTTATGCTGCTGGATTTATAGTTTTTTTTTTCAAGCAGATGGTCTTGTGATCATGAAGACTGTATATGCAATAAATGAAGACTGTATATGCAATAAAATCAGTAATTCCAAATTGGAAGGACTTTTTTAAAGTTTAGTAAGTTATGTGGGTGGGTTGCAATAGCATTCCATACATGGTCAAATGGCCGTATGAGTGAGAGCAATAACATGAACTATAATGGGAAAAAAATATTTAAAGAAAAACGTGTTTCAACAATATTTACCTATATCCACGACTGCATAGAAAAGTATATTTCCACTTATGTAGAGATAAATAATAAAAAAAAATATTTGACGCTCTAATAGTATTCTCACTTTTATCTTAGTAATAAGTTTTTTCTCTTATATTTAAATATGGATGGGGATATTGTTAGTAGAATTCAAGTTGGATGGTTGAAGTGGAGGAATACTTCGGGTTTGTTGTGTGCAGCGATTAAAAAGGCGTTCGAGGCGGAAGCCTCGAGGCGCGCCTCGAATCGAGGCGGAGGTCGGGCGAACTGAGGCTTAAGCCTCGAACGTTCGGACGAGGCTTACGCCTTTTTCCATGGAGGCGTACGCCTCACCGCGTGAGGCGTCGAGGCGCATCGAGGCAGCGCCTCGAAAGCGAGAAAGTTACCTTCACAGTCAGCGAGCTCCCGTTGTTTCTTCCGATCAAAATGTTATAGCTTACGATCCGACAGGAAAGGGAAAGTCGTCGAAGGAGCAAGTTGAACAGCACGAAGGAGCCCAAAAGAAGCGACGCGTGCCAGTCTCTACACCTCCTGTGAAGCAACGAAGCTGAACAGCAAGGACGAAAAAGAGAAGATGAAAGGCAAACGTAGACGCCAGCTAAGTATTATATTATTAATTTAGTTAATATAATTTAAAATATATAATAATTAACACAAGTTAATTAATAAATAATAATATAAAAATAGTGCATGAATTAATTTCATTTACTTATTTAATAATAGTATATATAAATTTATAATATAATTAGCCTAATAATATAAATTAAACATGTAGAATTACGTCTTGCATCGGGTACTGAGCGGTATTGAGGCTCGGTACTGAGCGGATACTGGGCTCGGTACTGAGTGGTACATAGCCGTACGCTGCGGTAAGTGAGCATATATAACAAACCGAATTTTAAACTTACTCTTATAATATAATTTTTTCCGGGGCCGCAGGCGCTGCCCCTTGACCCCGTGACTGAATTACAGGTCGAACCCCGCCAGGGGCAGCGCCCCTTGGACCTCCGCAGACTGGTTTTATTTTGTATTCATGTTATTTTATTATTGGTAGTACAAATAATTGTTATTTTTGTTATTATTTAAAATTTTAAATTAATTTATTTTAATCGTTTTGAGGCTTACGCCTCGATCCGCCTCGAGGCTTACGCCTCGCCTCGCTTAGAAAAAGCGCCTCGATTCCCGATTTCACCTTTTAAAATCTTGGTTGTGTGATAGAAAAGTACCACTCAAACTTAAGGGAAATTTTATAAGATGGTGGTGAGACCTACAATGCTTTATGGCATAGAATGTTGGCCATTAAAAGAGAAGTATAATATTAAGTGTTACTGTGATGAGTATGCTCAGGTGGATGAGTGGATTTACTCTTAGAGACATGATAAGAAATGAACATATTCGTGAAAGGTTGGAGTAGCTCTAGTGACAAATAAGATTAGAGAGAGTCGCCTTAGATGGTTTAGTCATGTAAAACGGCGGCCTTTTGATGACTCTGTTAGGAGAGTGGATGTATTAGATTTGGCCTATGTTAAGAAAGGTGGAGGTAGACCTAAAAGGACTTGGTTAGAAAATCTTAGAAATGACCTTTCTTTATTAGATTTAAATGAAAATTTGACTCTTAACATGACACAATGGAGAAAAATGATTCTTGTAGCCGACTCCACGTAGTGGGAAAAAGGTTTGATGTTGTTGTATATTTCAACATGGCTCAAAGCCTCAAAACATGGGGAAATGGTTCTTTGTCAAGGCTCTTGCTATATTTATTTGAGAAATTTCTCACCTTATAGACATGGGGAAACGCTTCTTTGTCTTTGAATTGTCTATGCTCTTATATCTCATTGGCCAACTGCAAGTCTTTAATGCCTTCACTTATCCTTGTTGTTTGTCTCTAAATATGAGGGCTTGACACAAGGAAAGCCAGACACTGACTTATGCTGTCTACCTGAAAGAAAGCTCCTTCCAGCATACAATTTGATGTGATCCCAAGGACTTGGTTTATTTTTACATGTACTCTTTAAGGTTGTGGATTGGTAACAAATCAAGTGAGATTAAAGGCATGATTTTGGCAAACAAAATCCAAAACAATGCCGATTGAAGATTCAACAAATTTGAAAATGTTTAGATGTTCATCTATAAGAACTTCGGTACAGATTTTGAAGTGAAATTCAGCTCCATCTAATAGTCTTCTACTTGGTTTAGTGCATCGTCTTGAAGGAGTCTCCTGTGTGGCATCCCATTCAATCAGTGTTTGTTTGGGGTTTATGGTGGCATTGTAGTTTCCAAATCTATCACCGGCAAACCTATCATAGTCATTTACCATAACCTTTACTATGCTGCTATGCTTCTCTTTGATCCTTAAACATCATTTGTCTAGCAATGCCCTTCTATAATCTCCCACTTTGGAATAAAATTTATCTTTCTTTACTCCTTCACAATTAACAACATTTAAGGTCGTAGTTGCTCTCACTATTTCAAAGCTTGATGTCATGTACTAGGTGCCATCTTTATTTCCACGTGCTATCACTATATCACCCTTGATCACCTTCTAACCATCAATACAGGAGGTCAAGATAAAACCTTTTTTACCCAGGACCAATCAAGAACAGGTTCCTCTTCAAGCCAAGAATGTAATGCACATTGAGAAGATTCCACATATTCTTCATTTGCAGTCTTAATTTGGGCATCACCAAATCTTGCAATTCTCAAGGGTTCATCATAAGCATGATGAGCTCTCTCAAAATCTCCTATAGAATAGTGAGGCATAATTTTTTTTATGCAAACTGGAGTGAATTTAGTCTAGTTAGTAGAACTTTATATGACTATCCGCATTCATAGAAATTATAGATTTCTTCACTTTTGAGATCCATAAATTCATCCATCCAATTTAAACTCTGCCACTATTCATCTATAGCCAGAATTTTGACGTGGCTAGTCTCGCCACATCCTCCAAAGCATAATAGCAATCTTTAATTGACTCTTGTCAGATTTGGATTTATCCCCATTGTTCTTTCCTTGAACTTCTACACTTCTTTCAAAATTCAGAGCAACAAAAGAAGATCCTTTACCTGATTCTTATCCCTTAATGTCATTTCTCAAAGTCAAGTCAAGTGCATCAATAAGTTTCAACTTTATAGATCCTCATGAATGCTGCTGGTTGTCAAAATTGTTGCCTAGCGTTTTGATGCTAGTTGTTGAAGTTGATTTCAACAAGCTCAACGAAGTTGATTTCAGCAAGCTGAATTGACTTCAACCATCCAACTTGAATTCTACTAATACTATCCCCATCTAAATTAATAAATTATTTTTAGTTTTAGGAGATTGTTGATCATAATCCTTCTTGATTTTTGCTTTTGTTGAAGGAAAATGGTAACATAGGCATACACAGATAGTTGAATCTTTGTGTAATATATTGATTTTGGTTGAAATGCAATATGCAAGTTATGCGCCTTGGACGTAAAAATAGCAAATAAAAGAGAAGAACATTATAAGAACACCAAGATAGGGAATTTTTTTTGGCTTGACCCATATATTGCCAACTTGGGCATTCCTTTTTATGAATGTCAAATCCTTCTGTATTAATTCAGAACTTGAAGCATGTTAAGCATATTTTATTTAGATTTGATTAAACGTACCTTTTTTTGGGTCCTTTGTAGTGCACGAGATCTATTTTTTCCTTAGTTTTGAAATTTTTATGCTTGTTTCATTTCTTTTCTCTTTAGCATCTTTTGCTCATTATCACTTTTAAAACTGCCACGAAGCTTTTACTCTTGGTATGCTTGTTTGTTGTATAGATTGAAAGGCCCTTGCAGAAGCATGGTGGAAGGCTTGATAAGAATGAGAAATACTGCGGTTCTTGTTATGGTGCCGAAGGGGTATGCCTTTCTGTTGGATGCCTTATTTAAAATTTATGCATGCTTGCTTGACTGCATTTGTTACTTGTTTTTTTTCCTGTGCTTTCTAATTGATAGCAAAATCTAGGGTTGCTTAACAATGTCTAACTTTGAAAATGTACTCTATCAGTCTGATGATCATTGCTGTAACACGTGTGAAGAGGTTCGAGAAGCATACAGAAACAAGGGATGGGGTATTACAAATATGGATTTGATTGATCAGGTTACATCAATTCACACTTACTTTAGGGTCTCGTGTTTTTGAACTTTGAAGGCAACTTTTTTTAGAGTGAGGCACAAGCTCATGAACTTGCAACAATTTTTTTGTGTGCATGTTTCAGCTAAATTATGTGTGAATTTAATGCTTTGATGTAGCGATGAAAGATGAAGTCCTTAAATTATTTATTTAGTTTGAGGAGTTATATATTTCAATGCCTTGTTTAGTCAAATATAGTTTTGTCTTTCCTAATTACTGCAGTGCAAAAGAGAGGGCATTTTCCAGAAAATTCAGGAAGAACAAGGTGAAGGATGTAACATCCATGGATTTTTAGATGTCAAGAAAGTTGCTGGAAATATACATTTTGCTCCCGGGAAAAGTTTCCATCATTTAAGCTTTCCTTTCCTTGATCTATTTTCCTTTCAGGCTGAATATAACGTAAGTAGCATGGGCCGGCCTTTGTTAGTTAGGTATGAGGATTCTTTTGTATAGCTTCAGGAGTATTCTTCTGCGATCGACCTAAGTTTGTCCTCATTTTCTTTCTAGGTAAGCCACAAGATTAACAAACTCTCTTTTGGTAAAGAATTCCCTGGGGTGATAAACCCACTTGATGGGTGAGCTTCGTTGGTTATTATTCATATTTACTTTATTTTTGGGCAAATATAAACTTTTTTTATTTCTAATGATCAGTTCTTACTAACACTTAATATGGATAACAATTTTCAGCACAGGGTGGATACAACCAAGTTACTCAGGAATCTATCAGTATTTCATTAAGGTGAGTAGTTGACTCGATTCTTTTCACTTAAAATTCTAAAAAGTCAAACCGTGCTATTTAAGTTTAAAAGATTTTTGGTGTGGAATTAGTGTAGGCATAATGTATCATTTCCTCCATATTAATTTCTTGAATTAGCGGGTGATATAGGATATCTCAAGGTCTAGAATTTTCTTAATATAAATTTGAAGGCATAAAGTCAAAATTTGCAGTCCACCAATTCTTAGTTTAGGCACATCTTTGTTAATTTTGATGCAAATATGATAATATATTTGTTTCATTTCTATTGATAATTTAAAGATTGCCTAAACTTTAAAAAGCAAGAAATATAAGAATGAAATAAAGTCACATAATGATTAGAATTCACACCACAAAAAAAGGAAATTTAAATTGTAGCCACTTAACTAAATTCCAATCACACATGAAAAATCAATCATAATGCACATAGATAATAAAAAGGATATAAGTCCAAAGAAGATCTTAGTCTCATGCCAGCATAATAAGAAGTTTCTCTTAATGTCTGTTATCAAGACTTACATGGCACTCGAAGAATTTTATTGAAGTTTATTTAACAATTGATTGAATTTTTCTTGTCTTGAGTTCTATTTATAATCAAAACTAGGCCTATAATTGATAAATTCTTAAAAATCTTAGAATCAAGATAAAAGAAACAAATCATGACTTCACAATCTTAATTCTAGCAAAATCAACAAATTTTAGATTCAACAATCGTGTCCAAAACATCCGCAATATTGCTATAGGACCAACTTGGAATTTAGCAAAAAAAGGATGATCCAGAGTTTTCTATATCACTTATACAATAGAAAGTCAAACATATAAGGAAACAAATAGCAGGAGGCAAGGCAATAGATAGAACTGGAAAAACATTTCACTAGATAGTCAAACAAAATAATGTGAAGTGTTAAATCCCAGCTGTCCCTTGACATTTGATCCCACAACCAGGATGGGAATCCATAGGAGGCTCACCTGGATCACGCTGATCTTTGTTAAATCTCAACAGTTTCTTGACACTTGATCCCACGACTAGGATGGGAATCCATGGGAGGCTCACTTGGATCACGTCGATCTCCTTCCATATTTGGGTGGTTGATTTAGGAAGGATTATATTAGGAAAATTATGCATGATTATGTAATTATTTGTTTCTTTATTAAGATATCTTTTATAGATCTATAAATAGAGATAACTTTGTGCAATAAAATCAAGCCTTTTCCCTCTCCAATTCTCTGAATTTAACATGGTATCAGAGGTAAAAATAAGAAAATTTCATTTTGACAATATTAAAGATTACTTTAATCAAATCCTATCCTCCTACTTTTAAAAGGAATGTATTATTCATGAGTCTTCTTGCATTCATGCCTCACAACAAAACGAAGTTGTAGAAAGAAAAAAATGGCCACCTTCTTGCCTCCACCCATGCATTTCTATTCCACCACAATATACCCAAATCCTATTGGGGAGAAGCCCTTCTGACCTCCACATATCTCATAAACCGATTACTTTCAACAACCTTGGGGCTAAAAATATCAATGAATATTCTATCCTCTTTTTATACTGAATTTCGAACCCATAACAACCTCACACCCAGAATATTTGGATGCACTGCCTATGTTCACATTCACAGTTAAAATAGAGAAAAATTAGATCCAAGAGCACTTAAATGTATCTTTGTTGAATATTCATCCACCTAGATAAGTTATAAGTGTTATCACACCTCTACCAAGAAAACCTTTATATTTGTTGACGATACTTTTGACAAAAATCCTATTTCACCAATCCTCATCTTTATGGGGAGATTGAAAATGAGGAAGATGAGGAAAGTGTGCTTGCCCCTCTTGACTTTCGAGCTCCACCTCAAACTAATCATTGTAAACCTGAAATCAAAGCAAAGTAGAATGAGGACAAAGTAGAATGATGACATGAAGTTTGAAATAGTATATTCCAGACGTACAACTCCAAATTATACTCCAGAGCAGATCCAAGAATTTGAATCGTCTCTTGAAATTGAGGTTAACACAAGTTCACCCAAAAAATCTCCTGTGTATCCCATAACCAACTTTGTATCATTCCATAACTTCTCACCTTCACACAAAAATTTTTGGTCATAGTAAATGATATTCATATTCCTAATAATATTTTTGAGGCGTTATCTCATGAAAATTATAAAAGTGCCATGAAAGATGAAATGCAGGCCCTGAAGAAGAACAATACTTGGGAGATCATCGACATACCAGTAGGAAGACGACTAGTCGGCTATAAATGGGTGTTCTCCGTGAAATATAAAGCTGATGGTACACTGGAAAGACATAAGGTAAGATTGGTAGTGAAATGGTACACTTAGACGTTCGACATTGGCTACCAAAATTGTTTTTGCACATATGGACAAGATGAACACTGTGAGGATCTTACTCTCACTAGCAGCTAATTATAACTGGCATCTTGAATAGTTGGATGTCAAAAATGCATTTCTATACTGGAACTTGAAGGATGAAATATTTATGGAGATTCAACCAGGATTCAAGAAAAAATCTAGAGGTGATAAAGTGTGTAGGTTAAAAAAGGCTCTATATGGGTTAAAACAGTCACATAGAGCTTGGTTTGAAAGATTCTCATAAGTTACACTACTCAATGGATATCGGCAAATCCAAGAGGACCATACATTATTCTTCAGGCACTCAAACTCAGGGGGAGTCATAGTTTTATTATTTTATGTGGATGATATCATCCTGACTGGAAATGATGAAAATGAGAAAGTGATTCTAAGAAAACGTCTTTCCAAGGAATTTGAGATCAAAGAACTTGGTAAATTAAAATATTTCCTTGGAATTTAAATGGCCCACTCCAACAGAGGCATCTTCATTTCTCAACATAAATATAGTAATAATCTTCTTAAAGAAATAGGTAAACTAGCTTTTAAATTGGCACCAATACTAATATAATCAAATCTCAAATTGGGTGAAGAAGCTAAAGAAGATCCAAATGTAGATAAGGGAGCTTACCAGAGACTTGTGGGGAAATTGATCTACATTTCTCACACCAGACCAGATATAAACTTTGTTGTAAGCATGGTCAGCTAGTTCATACAAATTCCAAAGCAAACTAAAATGCAAGTTATAGACAGAATGCCACACTACCTTAAATGGAATCGAAATAAAGGGGTTCTCTTTAGAAGAGACTATGTAATAACCTCAGAAGCATATACTGATGCAGATTATGCACGATCACTAGTAGATAGACAACCTACCTCAGGATACTACACATTCCTTGGAGGAAACCTTATTACATGGAGGAGCAAGAAATAAAATGTGGTGGCAATGCCTAGTGCAGAAACATAGTATAAAGCTATGACCTTGGAAATATGTGAGCTACTATGGATCAAGATGATTCTAGAAGACCTAAGGATCAAGTGAGAATAAACCATGAAGCTACACTGACAACAAATCAGCAATCGGCATAGCGCACAATCTAGTTTGACATGACATAATAACCAAGTACATAGAAGTGGACAGACATTTCATAAAGGAGAAATTAGATAGTGGTTTTATATGTATTTATCATGTCTTATCAAAAGATCATCTTGCAGACATTTCTTACTAAGGGACTTGATAACTCCACCTTCCTGGAACTAATTACCAAGCTGGGAATTACATATTTGTATTCCCCAGCTTGAAGGGGGTGTTAAATTCTATCTGTCCCTTGACACTTGATCCCACAACCAGGATGGAAATCCGTGGGAAGCTCACATGGATCACGCTGATCTTTGTTAAATCCCAGCTGTCCCTTGACACTTGATCCCATGGCCTGGATGGGTATTTGCTCACTTGGATTACGCCAATCTCCTTCCATATTTGGGTGGTTGATTTAGGAATGATTTTATTGGGGAAATTATGCATGATTTTCTAATTATTTATTTTTTTATTTAGATATTTTATATAGATCTATTTATATAGGGATAATTTTGTGCAATAAAATCAACCCTTTCCCCTTCTAATTCTCTGAATTTAACATGAAGCATCTCCCAAATCAATGAAAATCAAAGCATTGAGCCTAGTTATATTGTCAATAGAGAAGGGCTTCCAAATCGATCTGTCTGGCCTGTAAATTTTCAACTTAGGCAAACTAAGCATTTTTATTCATCATGCTAATTTGGGCATGAGTTTTATATTTCTTGTAACGTAGGTTTGCTATCACTATATATAAACAAGTTCTAATATCAACTATCAATAGGGCGCACAATTTGATTTTTCAAAGTAGTTTTAGGAGCAAGATAAGTAGAACTACCTAGTAAAGTGTTGGATGTGAATTCACTAGTTGATGAAAAGTGGGAAGAATACAAGGCATAACAGGTTCATGAAATAAAATCAAATCAGATATATTGAAGACTGGACTAATACCCGAGCTTCGTTGAATTTTCAATTTATAAGCATTGTCCCAATGCATTCTTTAATTGTATATGGCCTCATCTTTCTTGCAATTAATTTCTTAAAACTTTCAATAGGAAATATTTTAGGATCAGTTATACCATTTTCTTATCACTTGGTTTGAATTTCATATATTTTTTTTATTTACATCAATAATAAACTTATAATTGTCCTAATTACAAATTTCATGTTAATCAATCGAATTAGGTAAATTATGCAAATGATTTTATCATGTTATGAAGTAAGAAAGTTGTAGTATAATAATGTCTTAGGGGATACTAATAAAGATCTTTAATTAATCAATTTCTAGAAGATGAGATTACAAAGAAAAACGTATGTTGACAAATCATATAAAGATACTATATCTTTATGGATGAACAATTTCTTCAAAGAAAATTAATCCAAGTTCCATAAAAATCATTTGTGAGGGACAATGCTCTTCTATAGTGGACCAAATAAATGAATATTTGAATTTCATTGTTTTTTCAAGGTAATCATTGTTATAAATTCTCTGAAGTATTTATGTAAAATAGTTTTCTTCAGAATGTTCTCTTTATGAGTTTTGGAATCAAGAAGCCAAGAAAAAAATAAAATAAATTTCAGTTTAATTCATAGAAATAGAGAATCAAGAAGTTAAGAAAAAAAATAAAATCAAATTCAGTTTAATTTATAGAAATAGCTTTGTTAAAAAATTCATCAGAATTTAAATTAATTTGTTGAATTTCTTCATCAACTATAACATACTTTATTTGATTCCTTTGACATTCATGAATAAATTCAACTTCACTTATAATTTTTTGTTTATATTCAAGACTATATTCAATTTATATTACATGTCCAAGTTCATAATCAATATTATATTTATATTCTAATTATAGAGTAGATTTAAATGTTGTCATAAGTTCAGTTTTAGTTTCAAAATCAGTTTTAATAGTGGTTTACACTCAAATTTGGATTGCAACTCTTGCTCATTTTCAATTTTAAACTCAATTTTGGCTCTTGTTCAAGTCATGAATAGATTGTAATGTAGATGAAGATTAAGTTTCAACAACATTTGATGTAGGTTGATAGTGTTGACTACAAATGATCTTGTGCTTCTAATCTATCCTCGAAGGAGTATTCATGAACCATAATTTCTTTGACAAGATCAAACATGATTATACATGATTCTTGTATTGGTGTATGCTCGATAGGCTTCAAATGAGAAGATAATGTTTCTCTTTAGGGATTTTAATTGCATATAAGCTAGTTGTAATAAAAAGGTTTCGATATTTCTTAATATTTAAAGATCTAGATAAAGACTTATAGATTGTTTCTGATAAATTGTAGGTTAATCTATTTTTAATCTATATCCTATGATTTTTAATGAAACAACTAATGATAACAAAATAGCGTAAATGTACAGGATGTTTTGCTGCAAAATGTATAAATCTTGCATAACATTCAAACACACAATATTCACCTTATGAACAATATTTAAATATTTCATGCAACAGGCCCCTATATTCTTTGAATTATAAATATTATTCTTTATATCAACTTATGGTAAAAACAGCAATTCCTGATTTTACATTCTCAGATTTTAGCAAAACCAGCAGATTTGTTTTTCAGCAACAATGTTCAAACAACAATTTTTGAACCCACTAGTGTACCTGCTAGAATAACCAAATCTAGATTTCGTGAAGAAGGAAAATCCGGTGTCTGCTACGGTACTGCAATAGCAAAAAGTAGAAAAAATATGAGGAAACAGAGCAGGATGCAACTGAAAAAGGAAACAGTTAGCACAGTAGAAGCATGTGAATCATCAAGCCGCTGAACAAAGAAATGAAGCACCTTCCAATTCAGCGGCAGTATCCAAAGAATGCAAACAAGGCTGCAGCGGCAAGGTACTCTAACCCAGCTAAAGTGCTAGCAGGGAAGGGATTTGATAGGAAATACTTGAGTTCGCAAGTAAACCTAACAATAATTGGTGAAAACAGCGAGAAATCTGCTGATTTCAGAGAGAAATCAGCAATCATGATGCAGAAATTTCAGAAAATTGGAGAGGAAACACGAGGAAACTTGTTCTATTCTTTTTTTTTTTTTGGGGAAAATTCTATTCAATTCACAAACAAGAAAAACAATACAAGATACACGTTTCTTCAATTCGAGAGGAAGAAACAACTCTCCAAATCTCTAGCAAAGCCTAGAGCCCAAAAGAACAAACTCTAGATCTCAAATCTCTCTTCCAATTCCAGATGAAACTCTAATCTTCCCAAGGAAACTAATTAAAACAAAGTGGACAAATACTAAATCCCTAATCAATCCCTAATTCAAATTTTATCTCCCAAAGCAACGTTTAATTAAGTTGTGGGCCCCATCTTTCCAACCGGCCTCTCTCTCTCCGCCCCCTCCTCCTGTAACAAAGAACCAGTCCAAGTTGGACCAGTTCAGCTGGCCCTAGGGCTGGCCTAATAGGATTCCGTGAAGCTAGTTTTTGTTATTGACAAGATTTGTTGTTTCCGTTGACACTAATATACTTTAGGATGTATTTGAATTCTCGAATTTACATGAAAGCAAATGATATGGGCTTAAAAATCTCAAATCAATCATTGTAGTTATGGAACAATTTATAGCTTGCATTATACCGATTTCATTTGCTTGACTTCCTGTCTATTAATGCACAACATTAACTTCTATATTTACGAGTGTAATTTCCTCTTTAGTAACTTGTACACTTTTTTCTCTCTAGGTTGTTCCTACAATCTATGCTGACATAAGAGGACACAAGATTCATTCAAATCAGGTAAGGCTTGGAACATTATCTTCAATAATTGAAGTTTTTCAAGCTACCCTGAATTTTCTCATCGTACTGGCAGTTCTCAGTGACACAGCACTTCAGAGAAGGGAATGTTTATCCTAGGCCTCTTCCAGGAATATTCTTCATTTATGAATTCTCACCAATCAAGGTTAGAAAATGAATTGCAGCTTTCTGGCAAGTGAATTTTGTAATGCAATTAACAGTTCCCAAGCATTTCGAATAGCTTGTAAATCCTTGAATTGTTTCATTTTTATTGCAGGTGATCTTTACGGAAGAGAACAAATCTCTCCTACACTTTTTAACAAGCATTTGTGCTGTACTTGGAGGTTTGTGAATTGACCATTCCAACTACATTGATTCATACTTGCCGTATAGTATTTTTTCCTTGAAATTGCTAAAGTATAGAAACTTGCATCACTAGCATCAGATAAATACATGCCTTATACCTCAGGGCCTTCTTGAAATTGCTATGTAATTTTATGGTGTTAGCAGATGACAGTTATTTTATTTGTTGGCATCTTAAAAAGCAAATATTTAATGAAAACCACCTTGATTAATGTTGCGTCCTGGAATATTCGCGGCGGTAGAGAAATATAAAGTTTAACGTCTTAGCTTTGTACGAAGATCCAGCACGCATACATATATAAGAAAGGGTGCAACATTCATAGGAGACACCAAGATTTTTACGAGGAAAATCTTGAAAAGGGAAAAAATCACGGGGCCTGATCCCGTTTGAATGAATCCACTATTATTTGCAGTCGATTACAAATGAGGCCCTTCCTTTGAGGAAGGCCTTGGCTTGATAAATATACATCAACTACAATGATGTGGATTGAACAAAATTATGGAACTTTCCTTCCAAATAAAAATTCCAGAGTTAGAAGTGAGCAGTTTATTAATTTTCTTAAATCCATGCCAGTTGGCCATGGATTTGGACTGTGCTCACGGCCTAATTTAGCAGCTTCCAATGTTTATATGCCATTTCATTTATTTTGTACTGACATCCAGATATCCCTATTACCCAAATCAAGCATCATCTAAGATTCTAAATTCATAATAATGAATCTAATATAGGATTTGGCAGATGATAAAAACATCTTAATAACACTGATAAGATAGTCATTTATATGGAACCTCGAACCTTCAGCACCTTGCCAGATTATTCACTCTGGTGATTTCTGTTTGTATCCTTTATGGTTCCTATGAGAAGTATTCTTGCTCAATCTAGGCTTTGTTTGGGATGGCTTCTTTGCTGCTTCTTAAAGCAAGTTTTTAATAAAAATTTATTTTATACTAAAAAATCGCTTTAAGAAACAGGAAGAAAACTGTCCCAAATGAATCCCTGGTGATAATGGATTGAAAGCATGTTTAATTGATCTAATCTAATAATTTTTGGTTTGTGATGCAGGTGTTTTTACAGTTGCTGGGATCATTGATACTTTTGTTTTTCATAGTCATCGGGCAATCAAGAAAAAAATGCAGCTCGGGAAACAGGGGTGAATAATCTGTTGGTTTCCATCTATCTCCAAGAAAAAAGGAAAAATTCAGAAAGTGGTGCATATGCTAGTGAGTAGACCACATGATCTATATTATTTTTACCAAATTATTGAAATCCAGATCTGTTTTCTGGTTGTTAGTTTTGTTTGTAATTTGTCAGAATACAGGACTTGAGAAACTAGGATTTAGTTACGCTCATTAATGGATTTTTTGAAATCCATATTATGTTTCATGGCCATCATACAGCTTTTCTTATGAACCGAAGTGTACTAATTTAAAATTTATAAAGTTAATTGTTTGATTTTTTAGATGTTATAGACGAAGTTGAGTCAAGCAAGTTTGATTTTTTTTTTTTTGTTATTATTTTTTTAAAGGCTTATTGATGCAGGACTACGTAGATGAAATGATTATGAGTTCATTAGGATATTGCACAACTCGTGATTAGAATAGTACTAGAACAAGATTACTAGCAATTCAAAGCGATGAATCAAAACAAGTAGGAGTTATCCACTTAGGCTAAATCACATGGTGCGAGCTTTGAAAACTTCAAGATAAATAAGAAAACAATACAACGTAAAGTAATAGCTTTCAAGATAATCTCTAATCTAACAATGAGAATTAGGATGCATCGAGGTGTACTCAAACCTTACGATTACTAAGCTTAAGCAAGAGCAATGTGGAAGAGTCCGTCGTGACTGCAATCAACCAAAGAGAGTTTAGACGAAAAGGAATAAGACGCAAGGGGAAAGAGAAACCTTCGCTAGGGCTAGGGAGAGATGGAGATCCTACACTCGATGCCTTCGAAGTGTTTGTCGATAGCCTCCACCAAGGTGTCTAGGATCCTCTCCAAGTAGTCTTCAACGGTGTGGTCGATCCTTGGATTGATATCGAAGAAAGTTGATCGTAGGATGTCGGTGAAACCGTCGTCGTCCCAAGTTATTTCGTATTCAGCCTCCGGCTCCGTCATTCATGGATGCTTGAGTGTAAAATCTTCTTGGCACTTGGAAGGCCTCTTGATTGGTGGCAAAGAGAAAGAAGTTTCTCTTGCACTTGAAGAGAAAACAAACTCCAAACCTCTTTCCCAAAAATCTGAAAACAATTTCAGATTGTGATCCCAAAATCTGAAGAGGAATTTCAAATTTTATGAATAGATTTAAGGGAATTGGAGGGAGAGAATTAAGGCCTCAAGTTAGGAGAGAGTGGATTGGAGAGAGAGAAGAGACGGGTAAGGGGAGGGGAAGAGGGACCGGCGGGTTAATGGGGGAGGAGAGGAATTGATTTCCTAATTTAAGTTTTAGATTAGGAAATAATTTGAGAAAATAGAGGAGCTGGAATTTTCGGCCAAATAAGGAGAATAGGATTTAGAAATATTTCCAAGAGGAGTTTAGTGGATTAGGAAAGAAATCCAATTGACTCCACTAAAGGGGGCCGGCGGCAATAAGAGCAAGGGAAGGGATTTGGGGGAGATTTGGGTGAATTTAATAGGCTAAGAGAATTAGGAAACTACTTAATTAAATACTTAATTAAATTCAATTTGAATTTGAAATTCAAATTGAGTTAATTAAAGAACTTTCCTAAAATAGATTTATTAAATTATGAAAGATTTTGAAATTCTCATTGATTAATTTTGAATTTCAAATCTATTCACATTCAACTCAATCTAAAATAGGAAACAAGCTTGGATGGGAGAAGAGGGGATTGGATCGGCGGCTAGGGAGATGGAGGCCGGCGGCATGGGGGCTTGGGCATGGGTTTGGCCGTGGGGTTTGGGGGGAGGGGAAGGGTTTTGGAGTGGTGGTAATCCGGTGGCTATGGGGATATTGGAGGGGAACGAGAGAAGAAACAACGGATGGGAAAGAAACAGGATAAACGAAGAAAACCACGATTCCGACTTATCTAGGTTGGTGGGTATCCTGCTAATCTTCTTCCTCTCCTAGGAAGCTCTCTCAATTAGAACACTCAAGCTCTCAAGGCTCATGCAAGAGGACATTTTAATAAGCAAATATTCATTACTTGAAACAATAAGCAAATGGCTATATATAGCCAAGTACAATGGACTCAAAGACTAAAAGACTCAATTGCCCTTTGGGCTCATACATGACACATCCCATCAAGGGGGTACAAACGGAAAGACAAAAATAACAATAAGCAAATAACTCATACATAAATAATGAAATAACATGATTCAAAAATACAATGACTCGATCGTGGCCTTAGATCGGCGGCCACATCACTGATAAACTTTCCACGATCTAATGTCCCCATCATTTTTCTACTACACTTCCTTTGAGTGGATACAATTCTATTGTTTGTTTGCTTCATCAATTGCCTATCCTCTTCTACAACAAATAATGTATAACCATACAAACTCCTTCATCAATACCCTCCCTGGCTCCGGCCATAATATATGAATTTATGTTATTATATACAAATATGAGTGTAAGGTTTTGTTTGGGAGGGCTTTCTTATTGTTTTCTAAAATAATTTTTTAGTAAAAAAATTTTTGAACGAACAAGAAATTTTTGCACTAAAAAGCTGCTTTAGAAAGCCGTTTCAAATGAAACCTAAGTATGCATGTTGGATGAAAAACTCATATCAAAGTTAATCAACCATGCCTTGATCAAATTGAGTCAAATTTTAAACAAATCTGACTTAGTTCAACTCGTTATTTTCAAGAAATTTATGTGTTAAAATGTTTTTCACATCAACTTTTTATTATTGCTGACACTCATAGTCTTCTTCCTTAATTTTATTATCAAAGTTGCTCCTCATTAGTGTGCTGCAAGCCTGCAACCACATTGTTTTCCATTCACATCAAAATATTAAAAAACACAAGTTTTTTTTTTTTTTTTATGATTTAGGCTTCATTTGAGACTGGCTTTTTTATTATTTCTTAAAGCAGTTTTTTAGCATATAAATTTTATTTTTTGTACTAAAAGATTGCATTAAGAAGTAATAAGAAAGCCGTTCTAAACAAAGACTTTTTTACTCCTTAAAACAACTTTCTAGTACAAAAATTTTAATTTTGTATTAAAAAGCTGCTTTATGAATTAATAAAAAAGCCGTCCAAAACGGAGTCATAATTTACATTGAAATTATGTTTTTTTAAAAGAACTATTTTATCCATATACATTCCAACAAATTTATGAATACAAACACATACATAATCAACCGCTAATATTTGATTAATTACCTCAATAATTAAGCCTCAAATTAACCCTCCTCAGCCATATAGAATGCAAAACCATATGAAACACATCAAATCTCTTAGCCGGCCTATTCAGCACAAAATGGCGCTGCACCTGCACCACTCTTCTCTGCAGAACCCCATATCTTCTTGCTGATATGTTCCCCAGTATATCTTTAATCTCCGGTATTCGCTCCACCGGTATCTCTATCGAGAATTTGCTCCAGTCGAGCACGTCGGCGAACGGCGGCGGGTAGTCAATGGAGATAATCACCGGCACACAACCATTGAAGATGGCCTCAACGATTCTCGGACTCGCCACTTCAAATCCGCTTGGGCATAAGCAGAACCTGTCAGATTTTTTTTTAATCATTCATACGGTTCTTATTTTTTATTAAAAATTGAATTTTGCATAGTTGATTGAGATAAAAAACCTGGCTTTGCTCATCATCTGGCCGTAGTTGATCCCCTTGGGGAGGTACTCATAGACGACCACGTCGGAGTCTTTATCCTTCCAGTGCCGAAGAAGGGCCTCCCTTATGTAGCCGTGGGCTCCGCCGGCGAAGAAGGCGAGCAACTTTCGGCTGTCGACGGAAGTTTGCTCCCGCGCCGGCGAGGAGAGGCCGCCATCGGGGAGGTGGACTTCCGGCAGGGTGACGTCCTTGCCGAGCTTGAAGCCTTCCGATGTGTTGGCGTTGCAGATGGCGCGTATGGAATTGCGGTGCAGATCCGCGTTCGCGACCGATAGGTGCGGTGCCTAGCAAAGTTTCGGCCAAGTATATCTGTTTAATCAATTAGCTAATGCCTTGTTTTTTACAAGGAAAAAAATTTAAGCTATTTGCATGAACAATAAAAATTTATTAAATTGTGTGAAAAATAAAATCAAATGAGAAGAATATTTTATCAGTATTATAACATATTGTAATTTTCATACTAAGATTCATTCCATTGGTTTTTTGTTTTTGGCAAAATGAATATTATATTAATACAGAAGAGATTCCTGTGAGATCAAAGAAGTAGCCATAAGTAATAAATATAGAGAAAAGCAACCTAAAAGATAGCCATTTGCGAGTTAGGCTGTTTTGTTGGATGCAAAAGGAATGAGATATGAAAATAATGTATTGAATTTTGAATATTTGAAAATGTTTGGATGAGTGTAAAATAAACATCGCATGATTTTTTGTTGTTTATCTTAAAACAAAATAAATGTTGTATGAAGCTCAATAATGATGATGGTCAATGACGACTGACAATAGCTGCAGCTTTTTTACGGGTCAATGTAGACGGCAGTGATCAGTAATGGGTGCTAGCTAGTGGCAAGCTGTGACTAGTGAAGGTAGGTGGCGACGGTGGCGGTGGCGACGACTTGTGACATCAATGACAGAGAATTTATAGTGTAGTTGAGAATGGACCAAATTTAATGATTTTTAAATACATTAAAATTTTACTCTACATTTTCTTAATTCAAATCAAACACTAATATATGTTCAAAATTCATATATTCTGAATACTTTATGCCCTTTTATTTCAAGCCAAATAGCCCCTTATGATCCTATTTGAAACGGTTATTATATTATTATTATGTAATAGAAAAAAATATTTAGTAAGAAACTAATATCTAAAAAAAATTGTACAAACTTTTTACTATTTATTTATCTTGAGAAAACTGAATTTTATATATATCTCATACTCTGAACATATACTGCAATATTATAGCAGTGAAGAACTGATTACCATACTATAATTCTGTTATCTCAGTTACTATTTCCTCTCATTCTTTCAAAAAAAAAAAAAAATCACTTTGTTTCTAAAGAATTCCATCTCAGGAACTAAATATCATAATAATAGACTCTATCATGCAATTTCTATTAACAATACATTCTTCAGTAATTAAGAAAGTTACTTCCAGCAGACATAAAGAAATACTATTAATCTAAGTTAAATTACATAAAAGAGACATAATATAGTTACCCAATCATGACAAGAAACCATAAAATGATCAGCTCCATGACTCCGATTCCAGTAAGGATACTTATCCGAGATCACATTAATATAATCAGCTATTAATCTCTTGAGAGGACCCCAATAATCCTTGGCTTCTGGCTTGTAAACATACTCTACAATATTCACCACACTAAAGGGGAGAAGGAAGACATGAGCTTCGCTTGGATGGCGAGCCCTGAATGGGTTTCTTCTGTCCTCCATTTCACTTATGAAGTGCCCTTCAATAGCGTATATGTCTGCTTCAGGGCCTCCATGAACAATAGGTGGCTCTCCTTCCTCATAAGTCCACACCTTGAATCTCTTCTCCATCTCTATATAGCTCCTAAACAGCACAAGAGAAAAAGATGGTGAGATCGAACATGTTCACTTTTAGTGCCTCACTACAGGAAAATCAACGTTTACCGGCGGTCAAATAACCCCGGAATTACCAGCTGCTTATCACGGCGGTTTTTAATAATAAACTGCTGGAAATTCACTGCCCCAATTTGTTTCCTACATGATTTATATCGGCGGTTAATAGACCGCCGGAAAAAGCCATCGGTAATTGATAATTTTCCTGTAGTGCCTCCTCGCCTCGAAGAAGAGTGAATTACTCAACTGGTGAAAAGCGTTGGCATTTCGATAGACAGAACCTCTAGGGACGAAGTCCTCGTCTTTGTTTGAAGTGTAGTTGCGATGAAGGATTGCTTTGCGAATGGCAGCTCGAGCTCTCTCAAGTCCCTTCTCGAGCTGGCTGAGCTTCAACTAAAAAAGATCACTTCTGATGACTACCATTTAAAACATGTAATATTAAGGAGAAAGGTTACAAAAAGGTCACAAGAGACTCACTTCTTTATCAATTTCTGCTGGTCTGGTGCTTGGAATAATGGCGGCCATTTGTTGTCTTTGATGCTTTGCGATTGAAGTATTGAAGAAGGAGGAGAAGGAGAAGCTGGTTGAGATATTGGAAATAGAGAGCCCTTCAAGCTTTGGAATGGAAGCATTGAAAGAGGAGAAGAAGTTTCTTAAACTGTGTTGAGTGGGAGAGTTTCCTAAGAGAGTGAAGGAGATTAGGAGGAGAAAGAAGAGAAGAAATGGAATGTGAGGAGATGAGCAGCTCATGCAAGACATCTTTAGGAGTACTGAGGTTAAAGTCATGAAGGATATATATCTTATATATGCACCATTACTTATAACGTTTCTTTGAAGAAAACTTTATTATCATGTGCATGGGCACGTGCTATAAATAATGGACAATATTCTTATAGGATTTTGTTACTATATTTATATGGGGAAGTTCTTCGTAAAGTGATCATATGGAAATCTCCTTTTAAGTTAAGTTTTTTTTTTTATGCTTTGAGAAACAAATATGAACTATAGATCTAGATTTAATTGTGGTATTAGAAGGAAGATAAATTGATCTACAAAAAATATATTTTTGAAAAAACTTGTTAATGAAAATATATAAATATTTTAAAAAACATTTATAAGCTATTTTAGTTTTTTTTTTTTTAAATCTCATTATTGGAGAATAGTTCTTGGCTCAATCATGAACATTTCTTTTAATTTTATCATGTAATCTTTATGTACTGTTGATCTTGACCCTCACCAATAATCAATTATGAAAATGGTATGATATTATTTTGTATTAGGCTCAAACTTTGTCTAACTAAAATCCTAGATTCTCATGCACTCTTTATTTTCTCTAGGCCCGGTTTGATTCACCATTTCTTTGGGGGTCAATTGCATGGGGCTCATTGCAAACCTAAATCAATTATGAGAAACTCTAGCTAAAACCACAGTCACTTCCCTTTCTTCCTTATATTATAGCTTGGCCAAATTCCTCTATGAGTCTGAGTGTTGTTCCATGGACAATATTTGATATAATGTCTTAAAAGGGTGTGATGAGTGTAAATCAATGTCTAAGGTAAAGAGATAGATGATGAAATTAGGGGTGTCAATATTTGACACGACACGAAAATCCGATCCTAAGCTGACCTGAAAATTTCGGGTTCAAGTACCCGCACCCGAATCGGGTCAGGTTCGGGTTAGGGATTAATTCGACCCTTTTGTAAAACCGGGCCGGGTTTATGTTGACCCAGAAATCCAATATCAACCTAGTTTGACCCATTTTTAATTGATTTAGAAGGGTTTAAGAAGATTGTTATGAAATAAGTGAATGTTATTTCAAAAAAATAATAAATCATGTTGTCAAAACTGAATTAAACTTGGTTTATTTTAAATTGATTGAAAAAAAAAATTAAGAAAAAAATTAAACAAAAACATTGTAGTAAAACATAAAAGAAGTGGGACAGTTTCAGCTCCAGAAAATAGACCCGTTTGCAAAATCAAGATTGGGTTAAAGTGTCTGGTTAGATTCGGGTTCGACTCGAACCCGACCAGAAACCCACTTTTGACAGCCCTACATGAAATAACTCGAAGAATGATTGTTGCACACTAATAACCCTAAGGTCTAACATAATGATTATGTTACATCAAAGAAACTTAAAGACGTAGCGGATCAATTGACTAAAATGAACCAAGAAATTTTTAAATTATTTACTTAATGAATCCCGCAATCACCTTGATAGTGTGACTCACCCACATCTCTAATTTGTCATCATCATCATTTTAATGCACGAGTTTAGACATATATTGCAAGCCAACTAGTTATTTCATGCCAGTATATAAATTTTTTAATCATAGATTATGAAACTAAACTTAATATTCTCATGAGTCTTAACATATGGATCTAGTATATCTAATTGTAATGATATTTATGATATATTTGTATATACCCGCACATAAATTCTCATTCTTCACACATTCATATTCAGCATTACATAAATTTTACATCTATGTTATCCCTTTTTTTCCTACAATTTCTGTCAATATTAATGTTGTTTAATTTACCTTTGGTCTAGATATAAGTAGACGGTTCTCGTTTTCTATGTAGCTTTTAATTACCGGCGAAAAATATCCACCAGAAAGCTGCCGGAAAACTTAATTTCTGTCGGAAAAACCCGCTGATAATGGACAATTTTTCTGTAGTGTTTATCATATTCAATTAATACTACTATTACTATCTTTTTAATATAATTATTTCTCTATGTTTGAAATATCAGAGATTAATGGAGAACACAATCCTCAAACTTTGATGATTTGATAAATAAAGAAATTACTATTAGTAATCAATTTAGTCTCTGCATAAAGGAAAGCGTGCCATTACTGTAAAACAATCTGAATTCATGAATACGCAAAGCTGTCCCATGTGCTCCATTAATCTTTCTAAGCAAATGGTGATTATTTTCATCAATCTCAAAACAAGAAGGGTTGGTTTTCTATTTATTTATTTAATATTATTACGTGAAGGATACGTTCAAGGTTGTCTTAGCAAACTGTGTAATGATCTCCAAGGTTATGAAAATATAATAAAAATGTAGCATAAAGAGGGGAATGAGTGATTATCTAAGGCTTTGTAGCTGGAAGAAGGTGTTGGAATTGAAGGAGCACAAATCCCCAAAAGCAATTTGTTCCCTTGCTAAAACTGAGATAATTTCCTTAGTTTTAGAAGAATTAGCATTTGTTTTGTCCAATGTAGGACAAAATTCACACACACACCCGACCTTACGTACTAGCAGGTGAATTTTACTAAGGGTGGCCTAAAACTTTTGTGAGAATGAAGAGAAAGAAGTTTGCTACAGAAAATCTGTAGAGAAAGACTTAGGAGAGTAAAAAACTCATACGGTCAAAAAGATCCAAAACACTCTTTCAACTTTTATTGATAGTGATCCAAGGGTAATGACTATCAGTACAAATTTCATTAGACATGCATGCCTCATCTTCTGACGATACACCATTTACATATATAATGTTCGCCGGTAAAATCATATCAAATCCTCAACAGTAGGTAGAATAGTCTTTTTGGATCTGATTTCACAATTGTCTTTAAATTGGGCTTATTTTGAATGCTCATGCCTATATTGTGAATTAGTGTCATGCTTTATAGGCATACAATCAATCTCATATAAATGACTAAAGAGATGCAAATCAACATGATTTGACTATTGATATGACCTACCAATATGACCTACATATATTATGGTAGGTTTCATTTGACTTATTGGTTTTATGCCCGTCGTATTTTCATGTGTTGTTGGTTTCACTTAAGGGTAGTAGGTCTTTAGATAGGTGTTCAAGGACTAAGTATGCATCTATAAATTATAATATAATGTTCTAATTTGATTTTTATTTTATTATATATATACAATCATAATTGATCATGTAGATATGAAAGTGTTATATAATATTAGAGAATTTTGTTATCTCACTCGTCATAATTTTTTTTATTGAAATAAATGTTGAATGATATTTTAATTATAGGTTTATGAAATGATTGTGTTAGGTTATTTTTTTTAGGGGAAGTTATTATTATTATTATTATTGATATGAATATAAGAAATATTGAATGGATGAGTTATTGACTTGTTGTTCTCCTCCTACTACACTCCAAACTCACTATATCGTTAGAGTTTATTAAATGCATGTCATAATTAGGGTCATCAAAGTATCATTACATGAAACTCATTCATTTTCGGTGGTTTTTTCTAGTGGAAATTGAAGGTTTTCCAGTAGATTTTTATTTTTCTGACGGAAAATTATCCGCCGATAAAATGCTCGTAGGAAAACAAATTATGACGAATAATAAGAGTGGGATAAGATTTTACCTGGATGGCATATATCTATATATATAAGATTTTGTAGGAACCAATGAACTAGTACTATATTATAGAAAAATAAATGCATGATTAGAATCCTTTAAGAGAATTAAACCTAAATATATAATTAAATAAAACGAATATTTCATTAGAACTCTTGAAATTGGACATCATAGAAGTAGTATATTGATTATAAACATTTATAATGACTTTTTCAAAAGAAAACTTGATTAAAATATAAAATTTTAATTTGTAATTTTTTGCTTTAAATTTTGAGATAATTTTACAATTTATTTTTAATTACTTTATGACCTTTAAATATTACTAATGGAATGATAAATTTATGCTCACAATATTTAGTGTTAGATCTTAACTTAAGTGAGGAATATTTCATCGGACTTGTAATAAGATGTTAAAATAAAAATATCTTATGTTTGTTTATTTTTTTCAAAAATAATTTTTGAGCTCACTAAAATAGATAGGGCTGCAAACGAATCGAGCCTAGTCGAGTATGTGCGTGCAGTGTTCATGCTTGAGTTAATTTATTATCAGCTTGTTTAAGTTTAGTTAGAGCTCGATTCTAGCTTTTTTGTTTCTGTTTAAGCTTGGTTCGTTTAAATCAATGGATGTTTATGTTTGGTTCGTGTTGGGTTCGTTTTGTGCTTATTGAGCTTTAAACAAACGAGCTTTATCGAATTATAAATGAGCCATACTTCTAGATATTCATGAACTTAATTAACAAACGGCTTTATCGAGCCTTCTAACAAACAATTATATCAAGCATATTCGCGAACATATCTCGTAAAGTTTTTCAAACTATCAAATAAGCTCGTTCACGAACATATCCAATGAGTATTCATGAGCTATCAAATGAACTCATTCATGAATATATCTAATTAGTCTTTTCGAGCTATCAAATGACCTCATTTGAAAACAAACGAATTATGGTTCATCTTATATTTGTTCATGAACATTTTAAACAAACAATCTAACAAACATGAATAAATATATCTTGTTCATAATCAAATTCATTCTATTGAAGGTATAAAATAAAATGAAAGCTTCTTATCGAGTTAATGACGAGCTTGTTCACGAGCTTTAAATGATGTTGTTCGTAAACATAAGTGAGTTGAACACATTGTTGTTCAAGCTTGCTTATTTAAGTATCAAGCATTTAAAGAAATGTTCATTCAATTTGTTTGTTTAACTAATTATACAATCATGAAAGAAGTTTAATCGAATTGAGCAACGAGTAGCTCGTCGAATGCTCGGTTCGTTTGTGGCCCTAAAAATAAATCTACAAAGAAAACAATGGCTCACAATATTTTTCACAAAATATCAAGGTGAGAACATATTTTCCTCATTGATTTTGCAAGAAAGGATTTTGAGTGCAAGAAAATAGATTTGAGTTTGCTCATAATTTTTTTGACACATAAAAATGATTTATAAGAAATAATAATAATTTTAGTGAGAAAAAATATGTTAGTAAAAGAGAAAATTTTGGGAAAATCATATAAAAAATTAGATTGCTTGAGTGATTTCATGCTCAGAAACTAAGTGAAAACATTTGTAATATTTGGAGAACAGTTGATGGGGATGTTTGAACTTTTTTTTCTTAGAATTTGTCAATGTTGTGAGAGTGAGGAAGATGAACTGCAGGACATTGAGAGCGAGTTATTTAAAAAAAATAATAAATAATAAATAATAGTTTTTTAATAAAAAAACAATATATTAATTAATGAAAAATTTTGTTTGTGAATGACCATATAGCTAATTTAGTTGAACATCTAGCAAACAAGATATAATTTTTCTTAATGGGTTGATCTTGGTATGTTACTATTATTGATTTTATCAAATGGTGCGGTCAATGATGTGTGTATGAATGATTGCGTGTAATAACCTAAAATTTATAAAAGATTTTAAAATTATATATATATATATATATATATATATATATATATATATATGCAAGCTTTTATTTAAATAAATAGAAATTAAAGGCTATGATAAATTAATTAAGAGGTAAACCAGACAATTCTTCCATATTTAGATCTTAAGGCGTTATATTGCAAGTGTGTGTGAGTGTGCGTGGGCACGTAGAGGTGCGTGAGCACTTGACGAGCAGTGCGTACAACTTTCATTCAAATGATCGATTTTGACAAACCAACATATGATTTTACATGTAAATGATTTTCCAAACATGACGGTGATATTTTTTTTAGATGTAATTTTGAGAATTTTGGAAAATGAAATATTTAAAAATAATTTCCATGCGACTTCCTTAAAAAAGTATTTTGGCTGCTTTGCAAAACATAACAACACATTTTGATCTTCTCAAAAATGATACTAGTGTCTTTTGACAAAGTTATTAGTTTAACAAATATTTTCAAGTAATTTAAAAGTAAAAGAGAATATTTTAAGTTATATGCTTATCAAACTAAGCAGATTAGCAATATATAGGCCTCTACAACACACCTATATATAGTTCCTCCAAGCATTTGTCTAGATCTCCAACACACTTGTCTTGATCTATCTAATGCACATCTTGATCATTTTAGCATTTAAGTGGGTGTGTGAACAGTGCATTTCATGTAATATGTTGTCTTAAATAACTTTGGATCTAATGCACTTGAAATGCAAAGTACATACATTATAGCATCAAAACATATATTTATCATCATTAAAATCAGTATAATGACCCTTGAAGGACATGGTGCTGACAACCTCTAATAAGGAAAAATAACCAAGTAGAATACTATTTATTACCTTGACATTCAACATTACCAGTCACCCTTCATCAAACAGTTGCTAATATTCAATGTTTGTCAATCACTAATGTTTTATGGACACTTTTAAAGTTGTTAGTCACCATTGCGATAAGAAGAATGACTAAGCATACACAATGGTAATTGGATTTGACATTTCTAGCCTGCCATCGTCGGAAACTTACTAATTTCTAGCTTATTTCAATCACCAATATTTGATGCAAGTTATTATGGGCATAACTCTTCATTTCCGCAAGAAGAATGATATAGCATACCACTAATGATCTCCATTATTTGAGTTTGCAATTGATTGTCATTTGATGCTTGTAAATGTTTGATTATTACTAGCCACCAACATCCGAAACCCATTTTCTTGATCACTTGTCACTCATCTTTAGTTGATACTAACTAAGCAAATAACCAACCATTACCAAATGTTTCCAATTGACTGTAACATAATGTTACCCATTATATATATATATATATATATATATATCAACTATTAACTTTCACCATTCTTGTTGTTGCTCTCCCCTCATATAGGAAAAATCATTGAAATCATCATTCAATGTTTTATGTTCCTAATTGATTGTTATCCAACGATTGCCTTCTTGATTGCTAGTCTCCCATCTTGTAAGCAAAACGATCGAGCAGACCATCAAATATCACATGATGTTATTAATCGACCTCATCTACCACTTATAAATGTTGATTGTCAGTCAATCACTAATTTAGTTGTAGACTTCCCCCTTATAAGGAAATTGATTAAATATATCATTCATCGTTACATGATGATTGACTTTCTTAGTTTGTCATTGTTTGATGTTAACCGTCAACATCAAATGCTTGCCCTCTGAGGTATTCATCTCTCTTTTTATAAATAAAATGATTGAGGAAACCATCAATCATCATCCGAAACCTTCAAATGCTTGACACCATATATTTTTCGACCACCAACATCCAAGGCCCATCTTCTTGATTGTTTGACTTTCTCTCTAAGTTAAGAATGATTGAGATAACCACACACCATCACTTGATAATAAATTAAGCATCTCAAGATTTTTTATTTTCATCATGAAAGATATCTTTATTATTTATATTTACTATGTTACATTAATATCCTTGTAATATTTTACTCATATTAGTATTCACAATTTTTCTTTTTTTTTTTCACATAATTTTTTTTTAAATTTTTTACATGATGCACTTAATTTATTTGTGTTTGTATGAGATTCAAATATTTGGACCAGCAATAATAATTAATTTAAATTTAATTATTCTCAAGTAGGGCTGTAAATGAACCAAGCCGAGTCGAGTATGTGAGTGCTCATGTTTGAGTTCATTTATCATCAGCTTGTTCAAGTTTGGTTCGTGTTCGATTCGAGCTTTATTGTTTGTGTTCATATTTGGTTCATTTAAATTAATGAGTGTTCATGTTCGATTCGTTTAGTGCTTATCGAGCTTTAAACAAACAAGCCTTAATGAGCTATATCACTTATATATATCATTCATATCACTCATACCACCCTATAAACTTTAATATTTTATTTCATGCACCCATATTTGTTCTATGAGTGGTAAGCATGTAATATTAATATTTTAGGTGTTAGATATGTAAATAGCATGAAATAAAATGATATGTATGTAAATTCTCCTATATTTATTCATGAACATTTTAAACAAATATAGACAAATTTGAAATGTCTCTTTTTTATGAACAAATTCATTCTTATGAAGGTATAAAATAAAATGAAACTAAATTTATAATAAAAGCAATTGTTTATGTAAAATGAAAATAAGAGTAATCTATATGAACATATTTTTAAATAAAGCTTACCTGCTACATTTCTCTCCATTTGGTACAACAATTGAAATAATATCTTCTGCGTTCATATAAAGACTTCAATGGTTATGTTAGCATATATTATAATATTTAATTACTTTAAATTTTATCATTTAATAATAATTATATAGTTATAATAAATATAAAATATTTATATTATGTATATTTATCAGTTTTATAATCAAATATTAATTAAGTTTTTATCAAGCTTATTTACTAGTTCTTAATCAAACTTTTATTGAGCTTCTTATCAAGCTTAATGTCGAGCTTGTTCACGAGCTTCAAATGATGTTCTTCATGAACATAAATGAGTCGAAAATATTAATGTTCAAACTTATTTATTTAAGGATCAAGCATTTAAAATATTATTTAGATTTGTATATTTAATTAATTAAACGATCACAAATAAATTTCAATCGAACTGAACAAAGAGTAGTACATTGTGGAGCGTTTGGTTCGTTTGTAGCCCTATTCTCAAGGAAAAATGCACATCTCTTGAAAATAAGAGTTTTTCTTAACAATTTCTGGCCCAGATCCATCACCGGAGCTTCTCCATTTCCCTCTACTAGACCGACCCTTATCGTTCTCTCCTCCGTCATTCAGTAGTCACCAAGCACCGCCTCCGCCACCACACGCTATCTCCACCGCTTCCGCTGCCGCCGGGTCAGTTTTCTGTCTTTCTTATCTTCGTATCTTTCCAAAATATTATTTCATGCATTCTTGCAGGTTGACGATGAATATAGAATTTGTATCTATTGAATTTTTGATAACAATCTCCGCGCTTTGTGCTCTGTGTTTTCTCCTTTTCGAGTTTTACGTTTGGGGGATTTCGGTGTTTTTTTTTTTTCATTTCGGTTATGCGATCGGTAGTTAGAAAGCGATGTTTCGAGGGTTTTCGGTATTTCACCATTACAACAAACTAGGAGGGGAAAATCTTTGCCTTATATCTGGAATTTGATTGCAACTTAAGTTCGCCTTTAGGATGAGGTCTTTTGTTTGCTGATTTTCTGATTCCGTCGCCGGATTGCTAAACTATGGGGCTTTTTGGCTACGAATAGGATTTAGTGAATCCTTTAAGTCCAAACTTTGTAGACCTTGAGAGCATTAAACCTGAAAACTGTTTGTTATGACAACCGTTAAATCTTGTTAAATCCTGCTAAAATGTTTGCTTATTTGTTCCAGATTTAATATTTTGGTGTGGCGATTTAACTAGCTTGATTAATTTTTTTTAATTACTTTCTTATGATATTTTTTAGTAGTCATTCATATTACCTAATTGTCATGAAAGGGTTGTCAAGAATTTATAATTCTTGTTAATATTTTTGGTTTTTCATCACTCTCATTTCTTAATTTTCTCGAAGTTTCACCAATGTATAAATTTTAATCATCATTTTACTGCTTTCTTTTCACTTGAAGGTAGTGAATTATCCAAATTGTTTAGATTAGGGTTCTATGATCACTTGAATGAGGCAACTTGATCATTTGTTTATTTTTGGAACTGGTATGAACCCTAGTCAATCGCTTGTAATGTGTTATAAACTTTCTTATATTAATGATTCACATACATCATAATACCGTTCATAAATGATTACTGATACTTCCCTCAACTAATTTTCTAGTGTTGTAGGGATTTGCTTTGTTCTTGTTTTAAGTGGGTAATTGTTTCCTTTCAGCTATTGGCACACTTTCTATAAGCAATGATTAATGGGATTGTTGATCAGCTAATTTTATTGTTTCTTAAGTTGATGATTTGATAGTTTAAATTTCGACTTGATGGTCTTTTCAAAATGCTGACTAGGAGCTTAAGATGGCTATATTGAGATATTTGGGATCTTCACATGTGAATAGGTTGATATATACTCTTATGTTTAGAGGTTAATTTTAGCTGTAATCTAGTTTGAATCTCTAAAATGATCATGACAAGATTATCAGTTATTCGATAGTTAAAATTAAACTATCTTTTAATTAAGTTGGTATTGGCTCTCATAAAAATAGTTTAATCATATAAGAACAAATCGTAGATCCTCATTTAAGGAAATGGATACCTATTCTTTAATTTGATTTAGTTTTAGTTTTCACTGCTTTTGTTATCTTTATTAACCCTGACATAACAATCTTTTTACTAAAAAATCTCTCTTACTTGGGAAATTTTATTCATTAATATGTATGAGATACTCCCACAATATTTAATAAGAGCGTAGTAATTTCGCAATCTATGCTAGGTTTAGTTATGTACTATGTTATCCATTTTCAGCTTTAATATTGGGTCTAGTAAAAGATCTATCTTTTTAGGTGGAAGCACCTACTAGGAGTTGGTACAATAAACATATATAAAGTAATATCAAATAGACCAAACACCACAAGAAGACACCAAATTTTCATGGTTCAGCCCACATAAGTCTACGCTCGTGGGAGAGGAGGAGAGGTTATAATCAACCATAGAGATGAGCGCAAGAAAATACTCTTCTCGAAATCTAAGTACACCTAATCTCACCACAAAAGAGAAATCTCAAATTTCTCGTACCAAATAAAAGAGAGATTCACAGGAGGGATAATGAATAAAAAAAAATTACTAGTTTCATAAATTCTCCACTTGAATGCTCTTTAGAAGGGTACCTTCTTGCATTTCTAGGGAATCATCATAATATTGTTGCTGTTATCATGCCTGCACTACATCAAGATAGTAGTTTATAATCATAAATTTTTTCTTCATCTCGTTTTCTTTTTTATCTCTCCTATTTGTTTCTTCTTCAATTCTCCTTCTAATCCTTACAGGTAATCCTTTTTTTTTTCATCCCAGCCATTGACCTTAATACAATAGCTTAATGCATGCAGATCCGTGATTCATATTATTTATGCACCTATAGGAGTCTATTCGAAATAATGAATTTTGTAACATACTTCTAAACTTAATTTTATCTAAAATACTAAAGGAAGGGTGGTTGTTTGCGTAGGAGGGTTGTTATTGTCTGGTTTAGTACTGAGTTTCAGACTCTAAATGATATGTGTTTTTTTATTTGCAATATGACAGTCTATATCTCAATTTCTACAACCTTTATTTCTTCCTCATATTTAAATAGATTTCTGAACCAAGTTTGGTTTTAACATGGCTCCACTATACAATTCGGTCAAACACAAATCGGTTTTGGCTGAAAATGGGTCTAATAATCTGGCTTGCTGAGTACATTGATTACTCATGCGTTTTTATTTTATTTTTCAATTTTCAAATACTTGTTGTTTTGTGACAACCAACCCTGTTGTATTTGACGGAGAGAAGTTGATCTCCTTTTTCCTCTAGTATTCCTTCTCCATCAATTTCCCATGAGACGAAGGTTACTTTTCCCACCCTCATTAATTGTTGTCATCTAATCTCATGAGAAAAGATATAGAATTTGAGTCACACTAAAACCCATCATTCGAAGTAACTCCCATCACCATGTTCTTTACCTCAGGAGAGAAAGGGAGAGAAGTAGGGCATTGGTTGCTTAGTAACTGAACAGCACACGACAAATGCTAGTTGCCATTCCGTACTTTGTAACCTTCAATGCTTACTTCTAAAAAGTGGTGTGGTTCATTCCGTCATCTTCCACATTAAAAGAAGGGCTTTGATGTTGTTTTAAAAAACACCTTCATCCTACCTTAATTACTACCAGCATCCTCCATTCAGCTACCATCAATTGCTTGTGTTAACTAGGGCTTAAATGACCAAAATAGTAGATGATTGGGGTCTGATGCTATTACTTGGTAATTTATAATTGAGGGTACACATCAATGTGAGACCCTAGGTATAATTTAGAGGAACTGAAAGGTTGTATAAGCACTTTTAATTCTATATCAAGCAATTGACCTACACTTAATATTCACTCAGCGATCCCCAGGTAATTTTCTTAATGTGAGATGAACTTTAAGCTATTTGTAATATCGAGGAAAGTGTTTTTTTTTCTTGCTATGTTAACTTGTTCTGAATTCTTACAATTAGGAAATGTTGTCTTTGATATTAAGACTGTGTTTGGGACAACTTTTTTAACGCTTTACTATGTAAAACTCAACCAACATTATGTTTGGGGCACTACTTTATAAAGGAGGTTTACAAATCTTTTCATTCTTAGCCTGCTTTCCATGACTTACAAACATCGCTCGCAGTTTATTGCATTCCACGGTTCTTAAAAGATAAAATGATGCAACGACCTTTCTCATTTCAACGATATTCAAACGAAAAAATCTACATCCACCTTTCAAAGCAGTTTCAAATTTAATTTTCTTCTACAACTGAACCGGCAAGCTTATCGCACAAACTCTCAACAGTTCTTTCTACAAGTTATCTATTTCAAGACCTAAAGCTTCCAACACCCTGAAATTTCTCCTCGAAAAGGTATATTTTTGAAACAAACATTTTGATGGTTGCAGTCTTTTGTGACTGTAGCTTAAACTGTGTGTAGGTTTACGGGAATCTCCACATTCCTATTCAGTTGCGACAGATTTTTTTTGCCAATTCCAGCTAACTATTTCATCTTTTTTTTTTGCACATTCCAACCTCCTTCAACTTCTTATATCATCTTAATACATGTTTTTTTTTTTATTTACAAATTGCTCAAACCATATCATTTATGGCCATTACAACATGAAAGAAAATCTATTAAAATGAAATCCAAACATTCTGCAATTAATACATAATAATTATTTTTTTTCAAATAATTATATTTCTCATTTCCTCTCACAGAAATTCCGGTCATCCAAAATAGATTTAATTCTCTAAATGTCATGTTCATTTGGTAAGTTAGTCTTCTACTGAAATTTATTTATGAAACCTTTATTTAGTTTTTTTCTAACTCAGTGCATGCTTTCATTGATTAATTACACAAGTTGATTGTATTCAACATATTTATATACATATATTATTATAACAAATTGATAGTATCTCCATAAATACTTCCAAATTTATAAAATATTATTATTTGAAAATATATATCTTACATTCTATCAGGGGGTCCAAGGGGGCAACGCTCCCTTGCGGGGGTTGTGGGGTCAAGGGGCAGCGCTCCTGCGGGGGTTTCTGGGGGCAACACACTCGGAACAAATTTTGATTGTAAGGATATTTTTTTTATTTTCTTTATTATTTCTCTTTGTAAGGATATTTCTCTTTTGATTTTTGGTTGTAATGATATTTTTGGCCTTTTTTTTTACAAATTTTGGTTGTAAGGATAATTTTGGTTCCCTAACAATAACATCTCTACATAAAGCGTTTAATTGTGTTGGGGAAATTGCCTAAAGATCATAGCATTTTAAAACTTTTAGGAGAGACAATTGCCTAAAAACCCTTGTAATAAAGACTAAAAAATAAACGGAGGGGGACAAATTGCTTAAATAATCATATAATAATTTTTTTTTTGAATTTTTTTTGGGGGGGGGGGGCAATTGTCCCCCCTGGGCATATAACAGATCCGGCCCTGGTTGCTCGGACTATATTTTATTTACTATAATCAGTGATATTCTTCTCTGCATTTTTAAAGATTTAGAAAATACTAATTCATAATATAAGAACTAGGTTGTACAATGGGTAAACCCAAGGATGGGGGAGCGTCTGCAATATGGGAGCGCGATGTTAAAATAATTTTTTGTGATTTATGTTTGAGAGAAATTGAATTAGGAAATCGTCCAATCACACATTTTAATAAAGAGAGTTGACTGAATTTAATGAAGAACTTTCATGAGAAAATATAGATGAATATATTCAATGTATCCATTCAAGAGATCGACCATAAACATCACCTACAATTGGATGGAAGAAATGACATGGTGCTACATTCTTAAGAAATCAAATCACACAACTTGTTAGTACATGTGCAAATATCACATCAAGATCAAATACATCGCAATTAGTAAACCTACCACTATCTCTTATTGAAGCCAGACTATAGAAGTTTTTGAGGACATTCCCCTATACTTATACTCAACAAAGTTTACGAAAATCCTACGATACCGGGATACTGGAAGTTTTCGTGGCAATGGTTTCTGAATGAACCCTTGTTACCTTTTTGAAAATAGTGACACCTAGATATGCAAGCTCTTACGCCTTGGTATGTCATAGTTCTATCAAATTTTCTTAGGATTTTTATTAATTTGGTGTCAATTTGAAATTTCTATTATATGGACTTTGTCATTTGAAATAGTGACAGTACATGTGAAGTATGATAGTACATTGTTAATAAGAAAATATATTGCTCAGACATTTTTAAGTTATAAATTCTTTGCTAAATGTATTCAATTTTAATTTATGATTGGTATTGTATTACTGTATTCATTTTGAAAATTTTATTATATATTTAATATTCTTTGAGCTCAATATATAAGGGGGTATAATTCTAATTTAATTGCATGCAGCTGCAGTAGTTACACTTTCGAACAATGGCAATTAATATTTAACAAATGATTCTTGATTTCAAATAATTGTGTATTTCCTCGCTCTGAAACTCTAATGTAGAAACATATAAAAAATTTATTTTGTGATATCTAATTACATCCTTATTTTTTTTTTTAATTGTTGTGTGAACATTCTGCAGAGAAATATTTTTTCCTGTCATGCATCAGTAGTTATAATTCACATAATTTACGTTATTTTTTATAATAAAAAAATTATTAGAAAGTATACTTTAAATGATTATATAAAAGACTGCCTTTGAGATTGTTCATCTGTAAAACTGGAAGAAATCAAAATGAAATAAAACGAACCCAATTCATTTAGAGAAATGTGGGTAGGAAATTTTACTAGCTACCTGCGCAAGTAAACAAATCTCTAGCAAATCCATTTTAAATTTTCACATCAACGTTTTTAAAGAGTAATGCAGAGTTTGGGGGATGAGGAAGGGATATATGTGTGTGCCTGAAGCAACTCTTTCCCTTGCTAATAGCTGATTTGTTTTCTTGTAAATAGAAAACTTAATTTAAATAATGATGGTTTCGTTTTCATTTATTTTGAATGGGGAAATAAAATTATCATTTTTTATAGATTTTGAGAAGGATTGTGATAGTTTGAAATCGTTGGGTTTAATTTCATCATCTAATCAAATAATATATTTAACAAAAATAGTTCTAAATTTAATTAACCACAAGTCAGCCCAAATAAAAAAAATTCAGAAAAATAATAAATTAATCAATCATTTGATGTTTATGCTACTCATTTAGGTTGATATTGTTCGGGGCCACAAATTGGAGAAAGTAGATGTAGAAATACAACTAGAGGGGCTGATAGCGATGAATGACATTTTAGATGCCAGTAATGGCGGAACGTCATCATTTTTTTTTGAATTGGTAGTTCACATTTGATTTTAATATGCATTGTTTCTTGTCGTATTAAAAGATCATTAATCTGTAAATGAAGTTTGTTGTTTTTATTATTGTATGTTTGCTGTTTAATTGAAAGTTTATCAATTTATTGCTAAGAAATTCAGTAGGCAGGAATGTTATGTTTCCGATATATATATATTTTTATGTAGAACAAGGGTATCAATGTAAATAGAGCTTGTTTAGCTGTAACACAACAACTTGGAAACTTTATTTTTCAAACAAAATTTACTACTTCTTATACAACCATTTCAAAAAGCAGCTTTCTCAATAGAAACTTACTAACCTGTTTTACTGACAGCTACAGCCGTCTCAAACGAACCCTAAGATATGCTTCGGACAAAGCATTAAGAGATGAGGTTTTGTTTATTCTTCTGAAGGTTAGTTGTAATCTATAGTTTATATCTAGCTCAGCTTGATGAATAGTTTTATCATTTATATGTTCATTGTCATAGATAGTGTAGCATTGTGCATCCTTGTTGCAGTGCTCGTGAATGTTGTAAAAAGCATGTACATGATCATCAAAAGTGCTTTTTGGTTCACGATTTATTACTTATCCTGCTTTATGTCACCTTGCAACGCTTGAGAAAAATGTCTTCATCCTTTTCTCTTGGTTTGCATTGTGAAGTTAGACTCCATCTTGACAACTGAAGAGTGATTAATCCAAGAAAGTCCTTGAAGCCAGGTTGAAGAATCTCTATAGAAAGACAAATTGCAGTGATGTAATGAATTGTTCTTTGAATTTTGCCATCAATGTTTGTTGTTTCAAATTATGTGTATTGATTATGCTTGATGAAAATCTAAATTTTAATGTGGGCTCCAAAAATTCGGCCTCGGCCTCCCCCGCTGCTTTTTTCGAGGGAGTTTTAACGGATTAAGTTCCAGGGTAAATTTTGGGAAGGCATATGAGTTTGTAGATAAGACACTATCTAGAGATTTCGCCCTCATTTGGCAAGGACTTTATGATATGAGTTCTGGCTTCCTATAGGCACAAGCCCCTATAGTTAATTACCCCTCCCGATAAACGAGAGAGAACTTTTGATTAACGCTAGTCGTCAATCATATATATATATATGTGTGTGTGTGTGTGTGTATTATCTGACATATAGTAGCAGCATGAGCTTCATAATTTGAATATTTGGTATTTAAAATTGAAATTTCACCATCTTGCACTTAAAGCAGATGGTGGGGGAATTGATGATAGATCCGATCAAGATCTCATGGTTCTGTCGTCCCGGGCCATCGTGGACCCTGGTCTACTTAGTCAGAGGAGGTAGTCGACCCAACCTGATAGGAGGATCCTTGTCGGCAGCCATGAGTTGCTTCGTCCAAGGGTACCTTGTAGACCTGTGGAGAGTATTTATCTAATGAGACAAATTTGAGTCCATCTTAGCTAACATAGGGCTTTGTGCACTTTCAATTATACTCTATTGATTCATATCTCTAAGATTTGATGCCATTAAGAAACATATTAGCTCTGACCATAACCGTTATCCCGTGGTACCACTTGGCGGCAGAACCATTCGGTTCAGAGGGCCCCGAGTCATAACCGTTTATCCTGCAGTACCATTTAGCGGCAAAATCGTCGGTCATATGACATGTACCACGCTCTTACTAGTAAGAGATTATTTGAGAATGTATTCTAGTGATATTTTCGATTAGGCATTAGCCCTATGTGAGCTGAAGTACTTTTCAATTTGTCCATCTCGGCAAACTGTTGCGGAGGGTGGATAGATTTTTGCTTTAAGCGATTACATGGATTATTTCAATTTTAAATTTTATAGACTTTGGAATTTTCTGGAAGTTTGGGTGGCATTTGAAATATTTGAGGACCCCTCCGGCTGAGATCAACGTTCAACACGATCATCATCGGGGTGTTTGTGATCATTCCATTTGCGGATTGAAACTTGTCGACTATGTCGAGCTGTCGACAGAGGATCGGATTTCATATGATTTATGACTTTGTTGATGAATTTCTTTTGTCATGGACCTTGAAGGCCTTATATGAACGTATAAAATAAATATTCTGGTTGACACCTTGACCGTATATCTGTTTGATAGTTTGAGCCGTGTCTACTCCTATCCATCTATATAAAAGGATCGGGCTCGAACTACGTTCATTTATTGACCCACGCAGTATTCCTAGACATCACGTGCGTGCCGACAATATGCTCGTCAGGGCCCATGTGGTGTACGATTGCACTTGCTCCTTTTGTGTACCTATGTGTTTATATATTACAGTGCATGTACGGGGCATTTTGTAATGTTTGATGCTGATCAGTTGTGCAGGCAATTGCCATTTTAATGCAACATTCCATTTGGGAGCTCGTAGATGCCTTCTGTCTGATTGTAGGGATGTTGCAAATCAGTTGGCGTGGCGTTGTAGATTGTAGACGTCTTCTTCAATGTTTTAAATTGCATATTCGGGTATTGAACCGTTTTTCATTCGTGAGGCGGGGGTAAGCCTCAAGGCGTTTTGAGGCGTAAGCCTCAAAATCAAAAGATTGCGTAAACATAAAGTGATAAATTTTTTATATACTAATGAGTGGATAATATAAAACATAAAAAGCATAAGATATTAAGTGAAATCAAAATATCCCAATAATAAGACAACATGAAATATAGTTCAACTCAAAATTCTATCTTTCCCAAATCTTAGTATTCTTTTCATTAAAATATAATTTCAATTTCCAAAAATAAATAGTAATGACATATCACATAAGAACTCATAAGTCATCAACACTGTCATCACTAAGGGGTTCTTCATTTGAATCATCATTATGATGAACTGCTCTCTTCCCTTCCTCCTCTCCATAGAGTCCATATCGGGGCAATTTACTTCAAGATTTATGTAAGTTTTAATATATATAGCGTGAGGAGTAAGCCTCATGCCAGTGAGGCGAGGCGGGCCTCAAGCCGAGCCTCAACCAAGTTGAGGCGCAAGCCTCATAAAAGAAACTCAAGGCGTAAGCATCGAGGCGTTTTTTACTAGAATTGCGCAAAGGCGGGCCTCAAGACGAGCCTCATATTGCGCAATTTTAAACCATGGTCTTCTCTCTGCTTGTATAAGTGTTGCAAATCCGGTGGCATGTTGTAGCAACTTGTAGATTGAGTTATTTGCTGCTTTGTATAGATAGGCTGTCGTGCACTACTTGCTACTTTTTGCAGGTGGATTGTAGTGCACTAAAGAAACTCTTGCTTTTGCTTATAGCTAACTGCATTCTCCACAGGCTTGGTGCATCTCTTTTTATAAGTAGGTTGCTTTGTATGGAAATCTTCTAGCCTTGCTTGTATGCATTTGCATTTGCTATCATTCATCTATATTTTATGGTAGGTAGCATCTAATGTATATAATGGATCTTTTTATAGCAGTCTGTGGGTGTTTGTATGCACTACAGGTATATCTCATCTCTATTTGTGCATGATACATTGTGTATCTCTATGTTCAAAGAGGATTCGTCATCCTGTACGTTGATGTTGGAGATTTGGTGTCGTGGAATTTAACACTAGTCCCTCAAGTTCATTTGTAGTTTGGCGAGTATACTTCATTTGTTTGTATATATTTTATAGTGGTTCACAAACACCCATAAATCTCCTACAGTCACTTGCGGGTGGGTTGTTGTGTGTGTGTTTACAAGCCAATTGACATTGCTTTTGGGGAAGTTGTCACTTTATAAGTTCTTTACTCACACTATTCTTCTAAGGAGTCAGAACTTTCACCAGGCATTTTTTTAGTGAATTGATCCCTTTTATATCTCTGTAGTCACTTGCACATGACTCGTCATATTCTCTACATATTCCCTTGTATCATGAACGAGTCATCCCATTACAAATTCATTGATTTATGCTTGTAGAAGTTCTGGTGTATTCGCTTGTGGATTGGTGTTAACCATATGAAGATTGTTATAACCATTGCATATCTACCGTCACAACCTATGATGCACCGACACGGACACGGCGACACGGACACGCATAATAATTTTTTAATATAATATATAAAAATTAAGGTGACATTATAGTAAAAATGTCAAGCAATAATAAATCAATTCATGATAACTTGTTTAGCTTATAACATAAAGATGTTTAGTACAAATTGTCTAGTACAAACACAAAAATATAAGCAAAAAATCATTTAATACAACATGAAAGTCTAACTACT